TCAGATCCAATCGCCTAAAATTCCAATTTTTTTCATCCCTCAAGTCCAAATTCTTTGTTGACGCAGCACCCCTAGGCGCTTCTTGCTGCCATTGCAGTTCCGGGCGAGCCCTCATCTACCGCCTCCCGATCCTCGTCCTCCTCGGCCATTTCGCAAAATTTTTAGCCAAAAAATAATCGCAGCCCTGCGCCGCCCCTAGCCTTGGCCACCTAGAATTTATTGCCAATTTGGGTCAGGCCGCTGCCCAATAACAAAGTTGTTGCCATTTGGGTGGGGAGGTGTGCGTATTCTGCGTCTACGTTCTTCACGTGGGTCAACGCTAAATCTGGGGAGGGCAGCCGTAAAATGTAGGGCAGGATTTTGTGCAATTTTCTGAGGGGGTGCAAAGTGTGCGGAGTCGAGAATCGAAGGTTCTACTTGAGAAATTGACCTGTTTCAGTCATAGTTACCTGAATTGGTAGCAAGTGTAGTTTGATGTCTATTAATATCTTTAACAGGCTTTTCCGCTTTGCCCTGATCGTCATCAAAAGCCGGAAACGGCGAATTGCTTTCAAAAAATCCGCCGTGAGCTTTTTATGGAAAATGCTTGCGTGGCAATAAGGATCAGGACACCATTACGGCGCAAATTTAAGAAATTTGTTGTATGCTTCCTATTAATACGTTTATTTAATTTTTAATCCGTAACTTACCCTGAGTTGAGTGATGTTTTTGCACTTTGGATCTAGAAATTCTGGGTATTCTCCCTTTCCCAAACTCTCTGATCTCCGGCGTACCAACTACCAACCAAAAAAACGCCTGTACTTGCCAATTTCCGTGCCCAGACGCCCATTTTTTGGCCCCATACTAAATAGTGGGAGAAGCCCAAAATTCCCCCCACACTACTTCTAAACACTAGTTCCAAGTCGAGTGAATCTCTCGTTCCCTCTTCCCTGGGCGAGGCGAGAAGCCCCGGGGGTTTCACACTCGGTGATTAGTTGTCTCCGCCAGCCCTTCCGCCTCCTCGCCCCTTCAACGGCCAATTTTTGGAGGGGGCTTGCTGGCTGCGTATCTGCGTATGTAACCACTGGACCGTAATGGGAAAATTTTTGCGACTTGTTTATACGGAACCCCGTGGTTAAGGGCCAGATTTTTGTGATTTTTCGAATTCCTGGGAAAACCATTCGAGCTGCTGGTTAAGCATACGAATTTTTTTTTGTGCGTAGTGAAGTCCGTGACTTAAAGGATGCAATTGTCATAGCTGAACTTTTTGAGTAGTATAAAGGTGTAATCCGGAATTGCTTCCAACGAGCTTCGAGGTTTGCGTACCTTTAGAAACGCATTAAGATTCAAATTAGTTTTTCCCACGTTTTATGTAATTTTTGAGTCTATATTTTCGTAATTTAACAACATAAGCACGTTGCATTACGGTATAATTGTGCTTTAACGCCCCTTTCCCTTTAATCCAAGCTGTAAATAAAAAAATCTCATGAAAGTAAGAAATCCCAATCCGCATTCCAAACCCAATTCCATTATGCCCAGAAGTTCGCGCGCGGGGCGAAACCATAAAAAACGTAAACAGATTTGCACATCCAAATATGGACCCTTGGCCGCTTGGCCTGCCCGTGCCTCCCACGACAATCGTCTGGCCCTCAAAGAACGTTTTGGGACAAAATTGTAACTCGGATTTTTCGAATCAATTCTTATGTATTAGAAATCGTAAAATACGCATTCAAAGCCTTATTTTTAAGATTTGAATTGCATCTTAACCTAAGTTAAATTTCATCTTTGAATCAGCATTAAAAATGGAAGATTTTTTAGAGCAATTAGACACTTAAGATTAGGCTTATAGATACCGTTCATTCAGCTCTAGAATAGAATATTCCAAAACACATTCTTCGTAACTATCCGTATTCCTGATCTCCGATCTACCGACGATACCTACGCGATTTTCCAATTTCCCCCAGTTCCCCGACAACCACCTCCCAAAAAATGGGAAAATTTATGGGCACCACTTTTCCGGGCGCGGGGGACCAAAGACGACTTTCCGCAACACACCGCTGTAGCTATCTTTTTTTAGCGTTTCCGGAAATGCTTCAGACGATTTGCACGACTCGAAACCAAGGGGTCATCTTTTTCGCGACTCGGGGGTAGGTAACCTAACGCGCCGAAATTTGACTCCGCGGAACGCCAAAGACTAAACTTTTCGAGGCGCCGCCCATTTGGATGGGCCGGAGGATAAGTAGTCGAGGGCAGATTAGCACCCTTGTACGACTGGCCACGCTGACGTTTGGCGGCGCTAATTTTGGAAATTGTGGTGTTGCGTCGCTTCAAAGGTTCGCTAGTAATTTCAGGGGATTTAAGAGGTATAATTTGCCCAAATTTCCGCATCTAAAGATCGCTGGTCGAAAACCGGTCGTAATGCTATTTTGAGAGTCGTATCCTAGTAAATAGGGGGCCTAATGAAAGTTTTTACGTGTCATTTGGGATACGCTTGCCTACTACGGCGCTCTATCTCCTGCTCTCTGTCGCTCGCTGTCCCTCCCTCTCTTTCTCTTTCTGTCGCTCCCTCTCTTTCTCTCTCTCTCTCTCTCTCTCTCTCTCTCTCTCTCTCTCTTTCTCTTCACTCCTTCTATCTAACGTCTTCTTTGTTCATCTGACTTGGTCTCACTCGCGCTCTCTCAGTATATTTCTCTATTTCTCTATTTTTTGTTATTTCTCTCTCGCCCCCTCTCTCTCTAGCTCTCTTTCTCCCTCTCGCTTGCTCTTATCCTATCGTACACGCTATTCGATTCTGCACCTAACGATTCCTGCAAGGTCTTGCTCCTTTGTGACGTAATGTGTAAACCTTTGGGTTTTTTGGCCCATTTAAAAAGTTGGCCCTTGGAAATTGGCTGACCATCGATGCCCACAATTAGGCCATCGATCACTTCCCCCTTTCTATAGGCCAGTCACTAATCCCTTTTCCTGATTGAATAGGCATCGCTTGAAGCTATAGAGAGAGCGAGAGAGAGAGAGAGCTTGAAAAAGAGTTGTCGTCAAAGAAATTCACGCTTATCCCTCCCGGGGCCAGTCATCTGCAGTTGTCGCCGGCGCGTCTGTATCCCCCCTCTCTACGAACCCAAAACGCATAATGAGTAGTCTCGACTCATTTCGTAGGCAAATCCGAGACGCGATGACGGCAGCGTGCACTTGGCTGGAATTGCTTTTCTCCCCTCACACCTTTGCTGCCGTTGGTCTGGCAGAATGACAACAAACTCCCTGTTTTGGTTCCTGTTTCTCAGTGTTTTATGGGTTACCAAAGTCTACGCAAAATAGGACATGAAGCTAAGCTATGTCTAAGCCTAAGCCTAAGTCTAAGTCTAACTCTAAGCCGAAGCCCAGGCCATTCCTAGTGTGTCTTGCTCATCCTCACCCTAAAACATTTCGCGGCATCTCACAGCTCCCCAAAAGCCGTTCCCAACCCCTAAAAATAGCACTTCGAAATCCGTGTCACAGGGCCATTAATGGCGAAAAAGTGGCCAATGCCCCCACAACCCGCAAAGCCAGAAGGGGGGGGGGTGAAGCCGAGGGTTCGGACACACCCAGCCGGGGAGGAAGAACGCTTTGTAATGCATAGGGCCCTAGGGCCACACAGAGACAACGGTCGAAAGGGCAAGAAAACGGAACCAAATGGCCAAATTGTCTGCGGTTGGGTTTGGCCCATCGCCCCACCGGGGTCATTTCTCATTCCGTCCAGCTGATCCAAAAAAATGGCAAATTCCGGGTTGGGTTTCTAAGGATTTTTAAAGCAATTTTTCGCAATTTTTTTGGCGAACGTTTTTCATGTAGCATCTTGTTTGTTTTGCCTTTGAAAATGACTGTTTTGTTTACCTACCTAGTATTTATTACCGCTCGCTCACTCTCCCTCTCCCTCCCCCTCTCTCTCTATCTCGCTCTCTTTTTTCCTCTCGCTTTTCCCTCTCTCTTCCTTACTCTCATACTCTCTCCCCCTCTCTCGCTACCACTCTTTCTCAGTCTCTCGCGCTCTCCCGGTCTCGAAGCCTCTCTCCCTCTCTCGCTCACGTGCTCAGTCTCTCGCATGCTCTCTCTCGCTGTCTCGCTATTTCTCTCCCTCTCTCTCTTCCGTCTCTCTCCCTCGGCCTCTCGCTCCCCCGCTTTCTCACCCTCTCTCACGTGCGCTATGTCTTTCTCCCTCTCTACTGCTCTCGATCTCTCCCTTTCCAAACTCATCGACAACAAACCACTTCCCGGCCGCTTTAATACGAATTATTACTGATGACACTAATCCACTTATTGTTGCCACCCTCTTCTATCAATGATGTGTCCAAGGGTGGGTGGAGGCAAAACAAAAGATTTGTGTCCGACTTGCGCGGAAGCCCCCTAAAAACTCACAAACATATTCTAGGGCTTCTTTTTTGGGAATTTTTGGGCTTCTCACCTTTCGGACTGGGTTCCAAAATCATGGGTTGTCTACTAGGAATTGGAATTTAAAGTAAGATTTCGTCTGATGGAGTCTGTTTTGTACTGATTTTTGAATTCTCGTGGCATTTCTGTGGTTTTGGTGAATAGCTCTAGGCTTCGGGGCTTAGGTTTGGGCTTAGGCTTAGGCATGTGCTTAGGCTTAAGCTCAGGCTTAGGCTTAGGCTTCGGCTTAGGATCCAAATATTTCTCCACCATACACCTAATTCCGGCATCGTTTTCGTGATCTAGGGTCGAAAGATGGGCGCTCGAGCCTTATCTGATCCTTTTTTTGGTGTTTCTCCCTTGCCTGAACGCCACTTTGCGGTGTTTTTTGAAGCTCGTTAGGGGCCAAGTCGTGTCCAAATTTGGGTCCTGGCCGGAGTTTGAGATGTCCCCTCCCCAATTAGAATTAGGTAGGACAGTTATTTTGTTGTGTTCATCATGTCCTTGTTTAGATTTGGCCAATTTTCCGGCTTAGTCTAGCTTTATGTTTTCCATTTTTGCTTCCTTAAATGTATCGAAAGCTATAGTTAATGGAATTCCTTTCAGATTTTCGCCCGATGCACCCATCATGGGTGCTGCTGATACTATTCTGTTTTCTGATAGTGGTGGCGTTGTTCGGGAATCTGCTAGTATGCGTCGCCATTTTTTGGGATCGACATTTGAGGTGAGCAACGTTGTTCAAGATCACAGTATTTTTTAACATAAATTTGTTAAGGGCCCTTACTTTGAATCGTTCCGTAATACACCAAATTTCAGACGACAACCAGAAAATCTCTTCCTGGTCTCGCTGGCCGTCTCCGACCTGTTAGTATCGTTTCTGGTAAGTCAGGAAAACGTTTCTCTCTCCGTCCCTCTCTCACTCGCGCTCTCTCCCCTCTCTCATGCGCGCGCGCTCTCTCTCTCTCGCTCTCACTCTTTTTCTCTCTCTTTTTGCTCTGTCTTTCTCTGTCACCTTCTCGCTCTCTTCGGCGTTTCAACCACTATAAACTTTATTTAAAAGCCTTTTCCAGGTGATGGTCTTCGCAGCAGCATCAGACCTGCTCGGCTATTGGCCATTCGGGAACGCGTACTGCCAATTCTGGGTGGCATTCGACATCACCACCTGCACTGCGTCAATTCTAAATTTGGCGGCAATTTCGCTCGATCGATACTGCCATATCAGTCGACCGATGGTTTATGTCAGGTTCGTATTAAAGTATTTGTGGTCTGAGCCAATTCTAAGCTTAAGGCTAAGCCTAAGCCGAAGCCTAATCGTAAGCCCGAGTCTAAGCCTAAGCATAAGTCTAAGCCTAAGCATAAGTCTAAGCCTAAGCTTAATCCTAAATACATGTCTACGTGAACATAGCTTCCAATTTCCTTCTAAAACTCCAACTTCCAAAAATAGCCCAAAAAATCCTCCACAACCGCGTCTAATCTCCCGAACCAATCTAACCGCCTTCCCCCTTAGAATTTATGTATATTTACCCGGGCTCCAACCCCCCCCCACCCCAACTGTGCCACAACTAAAAACAAAGCCCGGGCCTCGGGAAAGTACGCCGAGAATAGCCTCGCTGCGAACTGGGGAAAGCCAGGTCGTTTGTCTGGTTGAGCTTTAGAGGAGGGTGAGAGTGATGTTGCGGCGGCCAGGAAACAAGCCTCGACCGGGGGTGGCCCGAATTCCATGATTTCTTATTTATGGCCCGGTTCTTACCGGGGTTTGAGATATGAACGCTGGGCGGAGGCGAGAAAGATGGATTTGTGATCATTTGTTGGTGCGTCTGGACGCGCGGGTTCGGGAATACGTGCCTCCTTGGGATTTTGGAAATATGCGGAGAAAGTGGCTCGGCTGAAGGTCAGGGAACGGCTATTTTATAGTTTTGGAGCTCTAGACTACGGGAGACTACCTAAACATGTACAAATTCGGTTTGTCAATCTCATTGGCCAAGGCGTTGGCTAAGCCCCACTTAAACCTTGTCAGCACATGCCTAAGCCTAAACGTTGCACCTAAGCCTAAGCCAGAGCCGAAACTCAAGCCTAAGCTTCAGCCTAAGCTTGAGCCTGAGCTTTAGCTTCAACTCGGCCTATACCTAAGCCTAAACGTAAGCTTCAGCCTAGCCCTAGCCTATACATATATACATACACTGGTCCACATAATTATGGAGCCACCCAAAATTTTTCGAAAATCTCGATTTCTGGCGGCTTTCAAGAAACACTTTCTATTAGTGAAATAAGCCGTATACCATCACAACTTTACACAACAAGTCCGTTTTTCGATTCGAGAACACAAAAATTTTTAACGAAGATTTTCGCCTAAAAGGCACTTTGGAAAATCCACATAATTATGGAGCCACTCTGGAAATTTTTTTATAAAATATGAAAAATCGATAACAAATTGCTGAAAGCAAATGCAATTATCGGCGTCGGCTCCATTTCTTTGTACGAGCTGGAAAACACGGCTGTCCATGCTCAGGTAGAGGTTATCGAGCAGCTTCTGGTCGACTTGATGCCACGCGTCGATTATGGCCTTTTTGAGCTGGCCTACGTTCCGATAAGTCTTGTTTTCATGTTACATCTTGCCTACCATGTACCCCCAACCGCTTGAATGATGTTCAGATCAGGGGAACAGGCTGGCCAGGCCAGGAGATCGATTCCTCGGTTTCGACACCAGTCCTGAGTTCGAATGGTGACCCCATCCTGCATGAAAATGAACCTTCGGTTCCGATTTCTTCGCCAAAATGGCAGAATTCCCCATCGCAACGCTTGTCGGTAGTCGACTCGGTTCATTTTATGAGAGATGAAGCACAGTTTGACTCGTCCTTCTGAAGAAATGGCTGCCCACAGCACGACGCTACCACCTCGAAAGTTGCGTCGGGCAAATCGGAGCTGGTCTTTTTGCAAATCGTACCAATAGTGGCCGAACATGTCTGGGCCATCACATTTCAACTTCTCTTTGTCGGGAAAAATGACTTGAAGAGATTTTGAGCCGTTTAAAGAACCCTTACTTTTCGCCAGTCTACCCGCTGATTTCGCGGAGCAATTGCGACACGATCTTGGCGATGGCTTGGGTCGAGCATCGGCGCTTTATTCATTCTGCGCAATCTTATGAAGTTCCTCTTCGAAAACACGCGTCGGATGGTTTCTGTCGAGAAATCCGGCTTCAAATCGGCTTTAATTCGGGTAGCGGCCGAGACTTGGTTGACTGCTTTTCGAAATATGAAGCGTTTTTGGCGATCGGAAAAGAGTGGGGGTGGCCTGGGTGTACTGCCGGTCCATATCCAGCTGGATCTTTGGCGAAATTGTCGAGAATTTTGTGGCTTTCGCCCATGCCCCGAGCGATTTGTCGATGCGACAGGCCCTGTTTCAATTTCGCATCAATTTTACCCTTTTCAAAGTCAGATAGGGCTTTCCCGCGTGCCATCCGGCAAAACGATGATCCATTAATTACTGGAAAATAGAAATCAGGATGGTTGTGTGGATATCGAAAAAAAGAAAAATTGAAGAACTCGAGTGGCTCCATAATTATGTGGATTTTCCAAAGTGCCTTTTAGGCGAAAATCTTCGTTAAAAAATTTTGTGTTCTCGAATCGAAAAACGGACTTGTTGTGTAAAGTTGTGATGGTATACGGCTTATTTCACTAATAGAAAGTGTTTCATGAAAGCCGCCAGAAATCGAGATTTTCGAAAAATTTTGGGTGGCTCCATAATTATGTGGACCAGTGTACATACCTAAGCCTAAGCCTAAGCTTAAGCCTAATCCTATGCTTAAACTTAAATGAACCTTCCTCATAAGCCTAAGCCATGATGCAGCTTAAGTCTAATGCGTGGCATAAGCCTAGGAAGAGCCTAGTCATCATTTTAAAAGCACAATTCCTGACCTAGAGATCCAAATTTAGCCTTACCCCTCCCTTTAACAAATTCAAACACTCTCCGAGAGCGCAGAGGTCAGCCTCCCCGCAAAACCCGATTTTGTCTCCGCGATTTTGCCGATTTCTGGCCAAGGGGGGGGGGGAACGTTTCGGAATTTGGAGAAGCCTGTTTGCGGATTCAAGTGCTTTTGGCCTGCCTTTTTTGGGGCCAATTCTCGAATGGACAAGGAAGGAGCAGAAGGGGGGGGGGCTCCTCTGGTCGATTGGGGGAATCTCATCAGAATGCACAACGGATTTCCGTCGGAATGGAGGGGGGAGCTTGACGGAATGGCCGGAGGGCAAATTCAATGGTCGAAGGGTCAAAAAGATGCCGGAAATGCGAAAAATTGAATAGGGGATATAGGAAACTGAGGTAGAACTGATGCAGAAGCCAAAAAAATTGGATAGAGGCTGCAGAAAATGAAAAATTTTGCATTGAGAGAAAGAAAATGGCTACAAAGAAAAAAACTTGAAGAGATTTTGAGCAACACTGCGGCTTCTCTGTGGCTTTCAAATTTAAAAATTGAGTGAAAATACACACGAAATAGCGTATTTTTCTAGATACTGCAATCGACGTCGAATATCATACGGGATCATCATCGTCTGGCTCCTCTCCGCATTAATAGGAGCAGCGCCGCTAGGCTTCGGATTCGACAAGCAGTTCTCGCATAACAAGTATGCCAAAAATCTCAATTTAGCTCTTTTTCTTTCTCTCTCACGCTCTCTCTTTCTTTCTATCTCTCTCGCTCTCTCTCTCTCTCTCTCTCTCTCTCTTTCCTGCTCTTATCGCGAACCACATTCTCAAATTTAAGCGAGACGAGTCAGCCGACGTGCGAGATGAACTTACCACTGGCATACGCTGTCGCCAGTTCATTACTGTCGTTTTTCCTGCCGGCGGCGATTATGGTAATTTTTCGCTTGTTTAGCTGCCTTGCCAGCCCCGTTAAATTACAAAAACCGATTAGTGTATCATTTAGGTTTTCCTGTATACAAAACTCTACCTCTACGCCCAACGTCACGTCCGGAGCATACAGACGCAGTTGAAGCAAGCGACGTCTTTCCTTATAATGCAGCTGGCCTCGGAGAAGATTCGAGAGGTAACACTTAAGGATTAACTCACTTCTTATAAACCTTCTAACCACCCTCATCCTGCATCCGAACCTTCTGGGAGTAAGCCATTAACGCTTGTCGATTTTTGGTATTTGACGATAGTAAAAAAAAGAAGTCTAAGCGGTCCGGCAAGTCAGGCATAACCAAAACTTAAGGCACCTGCGTGACAAGCCGGTAAGCAATTAGTCAAAAAAATCTATACTCATGACTTGCGCACGAGGCGTTAATGGCTTACTCTTCTGAAGTCATTTTCAAGACATGAAAGCACTCCCACTTTTGGAACCCATTCTCTCTCCTTCTCTCCTTCTCCCTCTTCTCTTCCCTCGCCCTCTATGACCATCTATTCTTCCCCGATTTCAGGATGAGGATGAAGCGGATAGTTACGACGAGGTAGCAAACATTAGAGATTCCCGTAGTAGAAGGATACCATTATTTTTATTTTTGCTCAATTCCCCTTACTTGCCAAGCTGAACATTCATCTGTCGGTGTGGGGTCGGGTTTGAATGAATTTTGAATTCGAAGCTACAAACTACAAAAACCAACCCGACCCTTCCCAAATTTCCTTACCTCCGCAGCCCCTCCGGACTTTCGGCCCCACCCCGACTTCTTCATTTCCACTGAACTGCTCGGCGTTGTGCATGCGTTTCCCCTACTTCTTTCTACTACTGAAGATTGTGGTAGCTGGCCGGGGGCCTGTTTGCCCTGGTTTTCCGCGATTTTTCCCATTAGCTCTTGGAATGGCGTAACACAAAGAGCTGCGAATTCTTTGCTGCTTGCAAGAATTTTGGTTTCATGCGGGCAAAGAGAGAGAGAGAGAGAGAGAGAGAGAGAGAAGGAGAGAGAGACAGAGAGAGATAGCGAGTGAATGAGAGAAAGATAGCTACAGTCATTTCAACGCATAATATACGCATACGACGAAGGAAAGAAAAGCTTACAGTAACCTGAGAATATGACAAAAATTTAAAGTATTAAAAACAACACATCATATTTTCCACCTGTTCCAATAAATAACCTCCGCTCCCCCCCTTAGCCAACCACGTAGGGGCTTTTGAGGTGGTGGTGCGTGTGGTGGTGGATGGGGCTCGGCTTCTGAATATATGTACCTGAACTTGCCCCCCACCAAAAATGATCGCCTGGGGGGCCAGAGCTTTGACTTTGATTTTTGGGGCCGAGTGCTGCTCACCCTGTCGCTCACGAACTGTGTGTTAACTCGTCCCGCTTGCGCTTTATCGAAGTCGGTGCTTCAGGCGACGGCGGCCACGCTACGCAACGGCTCGACGACGGCACCAACACCCGCTTCGCCGCGGCTCGATAAGGAGCTGATTGATGACACGGTGAGTTTTCAGGAGTTTTGGCATTACTACAGACTATTCAAATTACGTTAAAGGAATGATAACCTCTAGCTGGTATCCCCAGAAAGCATGACAGTTTCCATTAATGCATCAATTGTCCTCTATAAAAGTTTCCCTTTCAGCAGCGCGGCACCTCGATGTGGTCAAAGTTCACCCGCGTACTCCACGTCCGCCGGAAAGGCAGCTCCGAGGAGCAGCAGCAGCAGCAGCGGAACACCATCAGCGACCAGAAAGCCAGGTATGCTTAGGTTTTGGCTGAGGTTAGGGCTTGGACCAGGTTTTGGCTTAGGCTCTGCTTGGGCCGATCATTTAACGTCTGCTCTCGGGCTACACCTAGACAAGAGATCAATCATGGTCCTGGAAATGAGGTTCGGGCTGTCAATGTTATTTTCTTTTCGCTTGTCAGGGTCTGTCAGCTGCCCTCGGAGGGCGTTAGGTTCGTTCGAGCAAAAAACAGACACTTTTTGGGCGGCACGTTCCAGGGGTTCGTTTTTAAATCCGGTTCCGGATCGGGTTACAAAGAAAAAAATGCAGGACGATAGTCTGGTTAGATACTGAGAACCTTTGGAAAGTCACGAGGATGACCGGAAACAGGATGCGAAGCTTTATCGAAGCTAAATATTTCCAGAATTACCCTCGGCGTTATCATGGGTACGTTCTTGGTGTGTTGGACCCCGTTTTTTCTCGTCAACATCTGGAGGTCGTGGGACCACGTGAACAAGGAGTTATCGCAGGTTCGTATGATTTTTTTGGCCTGATCCCAACTGGCAAGCTAGCAGAGACGTTCGAGGTATTTTCCGTGACATTAATTTGGACTAATGAACTTGAGGAGCTTTAAAAACCCTGAAGCTCGGCATCAACTTCAAATTCAGGCCGTCACCTGGCTGGGCTACGCAAACTCCGCCCTGAACCCGGTCATCTACAGTATCTTCAACCGCGACTTCCGAAGAGCTTTCAAGAAGATCATCGTCAAGCTGTTCAGCTGCTTCGATACCGGGAAGAAGAACTATGGGTAAGCCGTACCCAAAAAATTAATCCAATATTTTGTCTAGCAGAACTTACGGGAATTCAGGTAATTAGCATAGCTGGGCAGTAAAATTATCTTCGTAAGATGGCGTCACAATTTTTGTAGTCTGGAGGGCTGTGTGGCGAGAAAATTTTCGCACCCAATCGATTACGTTATAGAAACCAGGCCGTCACAATCCCTTGAAAATGCTAAAAGCATCCAAACCAATTTTTGTGATTTAAAAGTTACGGTATCGTAGCCAATTGACGTACAGTACTTTATGACATTTTATATTTTTTCAGCTGCGTACGGAACGGCGTGACGGACGGCATGGTCGACAGGAAACGCTCTTACACCCGCTCATCCGATACCCCAGAAAATAATAATTTGAATCGTGGCGAGCCGGTTGCTACTCGGCTTGTCTTGTTGAACAATAATGAATCATCTGTGATTGTAGAGGAATAGTTTTTCTTTGTGTTAAGCTTGTAAATCATAAAGGGTCCGGAAAGCTGAAGCTTAAGTCCTAGCCTAAGCCTAAGTCAAAGTCCAAGCCAACGTTCCGGCCCCTTTATTGCCCCCAATCATTGATTTTTTCGACTCATGAGCATCACCCCTCAAATCTTGACCAAAATTCCCTACGGGTCTGTTTCTCTGATGCCACCGCATAATCCTCTGCTTCCTCCCCCAATGACCTGCTCTGCTTTAACTGTACTGCTTTGCGGGTTCCCGTGATTGTGAATAGGATCTCGTCCTCCGAGTTGGCAGCTTGCCAAATTCGTCACAGGAGAACCATGTATGCCAGATTCTGTACCCTCTCGACTTCCCTGTGCCCTCAACGTGCTTCGTGTGATTCGTGTGCTTTGATGAAGACGGGTGTTTTGCCTTTGGATAAAGGATTTTACATAAGCTGAAAGGAGAAGACAACATAAAATGAGAAAGTGAGAGCGAGAGAGAGACACAGATAGGGAGAGAGAGAAAGAGATAAAAAGATATAGAGAGAGCGAGAGAGAGAAAGAGAGAGAGAGAGAGAGAGAGAGAGAGAGAGAGAGAGAGAGAGAGTCTAGGAGACCAAATCACACAAAGAGTTATTGAGATCTACCAGGCAAGCACTGATCGGAGATCCTGAAGTTTCCCAAGCCCTAACGCCATTTCAAAAACTAGTCTAATTCAAAATAATAAACTCCAAAAAATGAATTATTCTCCGCGTTTTTTCCCCGCTTTCACATCCCGGTCGAACAATTGGAAAGAAAGGAGGCGAAGATGGCCCCGCTAATCCATGCACCCTCCGTCCCTCCTTCGTCCCAACGACTTCCCGGGAATAAACGCATTTGCCCGGAAGACGACAATCAACGGCTCCAGAAACAGCGACAGCAATCCGCAGTTGCAGTTGCACCTCAGGGTTCGTGCTATCGATGCGGTTATTCAGATCCAGCAGCCATTGTGTTACGATTAAGCATATCCAAAACCTCCAAAACGTCAAAGATCTTCAAAGACAGACTCTAACGTACTCTAAACGTGGTGTTTTTCACACCTTGAAACGTGTCTTTCCGTGGTATCTAAACAGCCTTTTTCGTTTTCGCTTGTTTCGGACGTTGCATGCCATTTCGACACACGACCTTCTGGCATTTGGCCTTAGAGGCAAGATTGTGGAAGGCCAAGAGTCGCGTGGGAGAGGTCCCCGGGGACACTGCTAGGTCCATGGGGCCCAAATGACACAGATTTGGGCCCGAACTTGATACCCCGGGTCCGAGGCTCGCATCCGGAATGGAGGGTTTATAACTTGGTTAATGGAAGCGTTTGCTTTCTTGATTTCGCGTACGTTGCGTTTTATCCCCTCTTTACAGGCTAGAACTCTTTGCTGCCAGGCGTAATGCGGGAATATCTCTCCCTCTCTCGCTCTCTCTCTCTTTTTCGCTCTCTCCCATTTTCTCGCTCATTGATAGAGCCTAGCCTAATCCCGCTATTGTATTGTTTTACTTACCATGGCCACCAAAAAGAACCTACACTTCCTCTCTTTTTACTTCAAAACTACAATGGTTTTGTGAATATTCCCATCGCAACCCGAAGAGGGAAAAGCCGAGGCATTGAGGCGTGCCCCTATTCGGGTACACTTCCAAAGATTACCCTCCCCACCCCTCCAATTCTCAGATCCTATCTTGAGGTATGGCACATTGTTGCGAAGCAGGCTTTTCCTTTCAAAACTTCTCTCTGGTAATGGGTGACTCGCTTCGGAGCTTTATAAAAAGTAAAATTCGAATTTTTTAAAGGCCAGGCTTCTTTTTGATAAACTTCCATAGTTTTCCCATCGCATCTTTCTCTTTCCCATCATATGCAAATTGCATCGACTGGCGGGGGTGTGGATCGCCTGGACAAACGCGTTAATTAAACGAGGAGGGGCGCCCGAGGTCGTGCCTTTTGTAATGACATTGACTTCTCGTTGGGCTGCATGTGAAACAGCTATTATGAGCTTTTCTTTGTCAGGCTAAGCTTCCGCCTAAATCTAAGCCTAGGCCTAATCCTGAATCCGAACCTAAGCTTGAAGCCTAACCCTAAGCCTAAGCATAACGGTAAGATTTAGCGTAATCCCATGTCTAAGCTTAAGCCAACCCTAACTAAAACATGATACTTGTTGGTTGCATGTTTTATTCGGCTTCTCTCAGTACCAGTGTCCGCCCAGCTCAAAAGAAACATTTTGGAAGCACCAAGTGTTCCCCTTCCCGAGCCCAACAATGACCCATTTGGCAGTGCGGGACTAGGAGAGGAGAAGGGTGTCCAGAAGAAGAATCAGCAATTACCCTCCTCCTTCCCCTCTCCCCATTTCTCGGTTCTCCCCCTATTTTCTATGCCGAGACAGCTCTGCCTCCCCCTTGACACCCGACCATTGGCAATTCATGGTTTTCTCTCGCCTCTTTGGCCCTGCGGGTGTGCATTCGGGGGCCCATGCCCTCCAGCTACTACCATTTGGGACACCACTCGCCGGGGGATTTGGCTTGCCACAAAAAGCCGAGTCTAGTCTTTGTTGACATTGGGGTTGGTTGCGAGGTTTATAGCCTTGAAGCACGCTCTTTTCTCGGCGCTCTCAATACACTGCCGGACATAATTTTGGCCCACCCCAAATTTTGGTGAAATTCTCGGCCCCGTAATAATGAACGAGGAAACGCTTCAAGTATGTTATGCACCACGCTACTGAAAAACAAGGGCTTCAAGGAAATCCCGGAAAAAATTTTACATTTTGCGAAAATCCATTTTTTAGTCGAAATTCCATTCTGGCAAGTGGTCATAATTTTGGCCCACCCAAAGAAACCGGGTCAAATGCACCCAAAAACAGCTTAAAATTTTATTCAATCAATGAATTAATAATCGATTGGTCCACCCGAAAAAGGGATTATTTGGAAAAGTCGATTGTCCAGGCTCATGATCAGGTCACCGATGCGCTGCTGCGCGAGGGTCAGCCAAGCCTCTAAGATCGCCTTCTTGGGTGATCTAACGTCTTGATAGGGGTTATTTTTGAAGCATAGCATTGTCAACGTGTAGCCCAAACTGTGGTTTATTCAATCGCGACGCGGGAATTGATTAGCCGCGCAAAAAGTGGAATTCCGTGACGTCGGAATCTCGATTTTGAGCGGTGTTCCTGATCAATCGAGGCATTAATTTGCCGGACACGAAGCTCTCGCCCGGATTTGGCCGGATAAATGGTCGCGGCGATCGTCCGGAGGTGTACTCGTACTGGTTCTGGTTTATCTTCTTGGAGATGAGGTTCGGTCTTATGCTTCCAGTCAAGCAGCAGGGGTCTACGGCCGTCACATCCCATTCCCTAGAATTTCGTCGTGAGAAGAGCAAATTTTTCACCCGTGTGGTCGTGCCAATCAAACCGCGAGCCATCAGGAGCATAGCCACAAATTCCCAGACACCAGACTTCATGAGCTAAGGCTTTGCGACTCAGCTTTCCTTCCGCTGGGCAGTGTGGCTCAAACTCGCTTTTGCTCAACCTCATCTCCAAGAAGATAAACCAGAACCAGTACGAGTACACCTCCGGACGATCGCCGCGACCATTTATCCGGCCAAATCCGGGCGAGAGCTTCGTGTCCGGCAAATTAATGCCTCGATTGATCAGGAACACCGCTCAAAATCGAGATTCCGACGTCACGGAATTCCACTTTTTGCGTGGCTAATCAATTCCCGCGTCGCGATTGGATAAACCACAGTTTGGGCTACACGTTGACAATTCTATGCTTCAAAAATAACCCCTATCAAGACGTTAGATCACCCAAGAAGGCGATCTGAGAGGCTTGGCTGACCCTCGCGCAGCAGCGCATCGGTGACCTGATCATGAGCCTGGACAATCGACTTTTCCAAATAATCCCTTTTTCGGGTGGACCAATCGATTATTAATTCATTGATTGAATAAAATTTTAAGCTGTTTTTGGGTGCATTTGACCCGGTTTCTTTGGGTGGGCCAAAATTATGACCACTTGCCAGAATGGAATTTCGACTAAAAAATGGATTTTCGCAAAATGTAAAATTTTTTCCGGGATTTCCTTTAAGCCCTTGTTTTTCAATAGCGTGGTGCATAGCATACTTGAAGCGTTTCCCCGTTCATTATTACGGGGCCGAGAATTTCACGAAAATTTGGGGTGGGCCAAAATTATGTCCGGCAGTGTATAAGACAGAAATTCGGAGGGGCACGAAATTTGGCTCAAAGAGGATCGTGGCTTGCTTGTCTACAAGCTTCGTTATTAAACAATTAATAAGGCTCCCTTAAATACATATTTTGAGGTGCCTTCTTACTACTAAAACCGGCTTGCGTGAAGTGATTGCGGTAAAGCGGCGTCCGTCCACTTTTTTTAGCTGTTTCTAGCTCTCTTTCCTGGCCCAAACCCTCGGCGTTTTCTCTCTCTCTCTCCCTCTCGCGCTCTCTCTCTCCATCTCTCTCGCCCTCTAACACCTTGTATCTCTCTTGCTCTCGCGCACACTCTCTCACGCTCGCATTGTCTCTCAGTTTGTATATCTCTGTCGCTCTCTCTCACTCTCTCTCTCCCTCTCTTTCTCTCTATCGCGTTTATCTCGCTTTGTGTTCCTCCAATACGGTATCAAGGTTATTTTTATCTAGATTTTTCTAAAGTCTTTCTAACAACAAATCACGAGGCCTTTTTTCTCGCGAATCAGTGCAAAAAACCCCTATTTTCTTAGAATCAAGGCATTCAGACAAATCCGATCCAGATCCTAAAAAAATTGCAACAATGGTGCCAATCCGCAAGATTAGGCAGGCCAGGAATAAATCCCCAGGAGAGATTCAGGCATGTTTCTATGGCGACGCGTTTCGCACGGAGGGCAGGGCCCTTCGCTGGGTATGAGTGAGGCCAGGGCCAAAAATTCCGCTAGAAGCCTCTAGCCGCCCTGGGGTCCGCCGACTCACTATAATTAGGTGCCGCCGCCATAACCTGGGCGTAAGAATAAGAATAGTATCGCTGACTCAATGGGTCGGTTATTATTAGCTTTGTTGATAATCATTGAACACAGGAGTTTTTACATAGTTTTCTCTGGTTTTCCCCAATATTAATATAGATTTTGGACTATAAAAATGACAATTTTTGTATTTTCTGTAATTATACTTCTTACCACAATTTTAAAGTATACGTTCACGTCGGCACAAGTTCTGAGACGCATATTCCGAATCGTTGAGTTGGGCCGCTTGAGAAAACTTCGACTATCCCTCTTCTATCTCAAGTTTTTGAAATTTTGAAATTTAAATTTAAGAATTAGGGAAAGGGAACCTAAACAAATTAAGAATTTTTATATAAAACCCTAAAGTGCTCTCTTTATGTTTCTTTTACAGGAATATGCGTGTTTTTAACGACAAAAATTGCTAGCTTGCGTAATCTTCTCAATGCAAATTAGGATACCTTGAACGCTATTTCTTGGCCAAGTTTCCTTCTTTTCCAACGCTCTGAGCCCTGAACTGCATCAGAGTTGTCCTCGAAACTTCAAATCGGCAATAAACTACGCACCGGTGCTCCAAAAGCATAATTCGGCCGGGGTGTGAACGGCTTATCGCAAACCGGACTTTTTCGCGGCAACGGTGAGGGCCGAATTCCAAATTATTGGTAAACAGAACGCGACAATACATTCCTAACTGGAAATCCCCGCACTATGGCAAATATTCGTATTTTGGGCCGCACTTTCCGCGTATAGACCAGAGCGAACGTTGGCCCCACTCCAACGGGGCCATTATTACCCGGGTGGCACCCGTTTTGGGGCCCACCTACCTAACCCCCGCAGGCAATGGGCAGCTTTTGGATGGGCGCGGAAATGAGGCATGAGTCGAGTCAATACGCGAGACGAGCCGCTGCCGCATAGCCCGCGTCTCCACCCGCCTGCCACAAACCTCATTACCGCTGCTCCTCAAAAAGAGGGGGAGGAGAAGTCAGTGGCATTTTCCTGGCCTGTTTTGATACTAAATTTACCTTACGACTTTTCTTGGGTCAATTCTTTGTATTTTCCTTTAATTTATGCTTTTTGTTATATTAATTAAGCTATTTCAAAGCTAAAGCGTTATTTAAGATTCAAATATATAACTTTCCTGTCGTGATTCCTTTATTAACTCGCGATTTCTTCAAAGTAAAGGTCGATGAGAAGCGTAAATTTAAGAATTATGCCTATGATTTGCGCGATTTTTATGAACATACTTTTTTCTCTTTTTTTCTTTTAGTGATAACCGTTTTTTGCTATTGTACCGTAATTCTGCGGGCAATTTTAGGCATAGATGCAAATTTTGAGGTTCCTCGGAAGTGCGTTTCCACCCTCCTTTACGAATACCGCTAGATTACCCAAGATTTTCCTCGCAAATCCGGACCAATTGAGGCTTATTGTGCAACGGCACCCCCTCCCCAAGGTAATTTGCAAAGATTTAGATTTGGATTTCAGTTCCAAACCCAGTCGGTCAGCCCCTTGCCTCTCGGACACTCGACAAATCGCTATGCCTCACGTCGAGCATTGGTCGTGTTTTTTGGTGGGGCAAAACCGTCAGCCGATCCGGCTCGGAGTCTCGGAAAGAAAGCCAGCCATTGGGTCCCATTAACTATCCGGGGCTAATTGATTCGTTGGCAGACACGTTAAAACGATTGGTGGATTTATTGGGAGCTCGACGGTAGGGTTAAGCTTAAGCCTATCATATGCCTGAACCTAGCCTACCTTTAAACCTAACCTAAGCCTAAGCTTGAACCTAGCCTGAGCCAATGCCTAAGCCTAAGCCAAACATATACTTTGCCTGATAATCAATTGCCTACTCTCGCTACCAGTTTGCCAATACAAACCTCTATGTCGGAAACATGCGCCGCCACACCCGGCTGTTTCTATTTGTTTTTGCCTGCCCTCGGCCAGGGCTCTACCCTCCGCGGCAACCAAAAAAAAGCCTAAATTATTCGCCCAGCTGCCCTAGTTTTTGCCACTTTTGGCGGGTCGGAGAGTTTCAGAACTAATGGAGTTCAAGCCCAACGTCATTAGTTTTTTTTTATTTAAATTTATTAGGATTTTTCGAGGTGTCATTCTCTAACAGACTTCCCCATCCCTTGAAAATGGTGAAACGTCCTGATTTCTGAGCACTCAATTGACATTGATCCAAAAAACTCCTGCTGCGGCGGCGACCTTGAAAAAACCCGCGAAACTGATAGGGGAACCAGGTGAATCAGTCACCTTTGTGGTTGCCAATCGTATTACCCCAATTCTTCAATTCTCTCCGGGGGTCAGGACGTTGAATAACTCGTTCTTTTCGTGTTCGTCGCACCTGGAGAATTGATAGGTGATTCTCACGTTTTTTGCACTATTTTTTCTTTTATCAGATTTTCCGAGACGTTGCCTCATGATACTAAAGCGTAATTTGCAAGTATCCGTAATTGAAATAAGGCCGTTCTTTTTTATCGAGTACAAACTACGCCCTGATCTTCTCCTCAAAATCTTCCGATTTCCGTATTCTATCAAAAACAGAAAAACGCTCATTCCACAAGGCGTCTCCAAATGAGCCCACTTCCAAATTCATTCCTTTCATGTTAAAAGCCCCCCTGGCGGCCCGACCGCGAATTGCAACGTCTTTTTTTGACTTTTTGGCCCGCTCCCCTCTCATCAACATGCATGGATGTGTCTTCCCATGGAGCCGATTTTGGAATGGCCTCCTGCCCCCATCCATCCGACATTCAATGTCTCCCCACCCCCCAAATAAGGCCATGAGGGAGTGCCGAACAAGTGCAGAAAAATAGTCGAGGATAAACAGTCGGTTACCTCGACGAAACGTCTGTTATTCAGGTGGTGTTTCGGCTTTGAAATTGGCATTTGAGGCTAATGACTTTGTTACATTGTGGCTGCTTTTACAAACTTTAATTTATGACTTAAAATTAGATAAAAATTTTACAGTTTTTCAGGTCATTAGATGGCATCAGGGGTAAGCTTTTGGACCTATAATTCGGCAAAACACTATTTTTTATATTAATGTTAAAATAGATAGCTAAGATAATAGCCTATTCAACTGAAATCATTATCAAATCCCTTGAAGTCGTAGCATTTTTTAGTATTTAGAATCTTGAAAACGTCAGGAGTTAAATACTGTACACCCGATGGAATTCTGTAAACGCTACTGCCGTTTCAGCTAAGCGTTTTTGGAATGCAAACTTGTTTCGTTACTACTCTTATAGACAGGTAATATCGGTTAGTGATGGGAATAGTGATAAATAAAGAAATCCGCCCATGATTTCAAAAATTACCGTAGCTTGCTAGCGCCTGGTGCGTACTTTTATACCCTTATTAATTGGTCAACAACGTCTTCTATTGTTCTCTGAGCATTCTCACCTCAATTTCTGTTCATTCAAGCCCACCCAGCCCCCGTCCTCTGATCCTCTTATCTCAAGAATTCGCGGCTTTCCGAACACCCGCCGTGCAAAAATATAATCGGCGCGGCTATTTGGCAACTTCGTCAGCACTCGCACTCTCACTGCGCCGTTCCGACCCTCATTTTTGTCCACTCAACTGCTGTGACCTTGGGAAGCGCAGGTTCGGTGCCGCTACAAAGAAGCGATGTTTACCTCAAATTTTTCACGTTTCAACATCGTATTTGCGTTGGAATTTGGACTTCGACAAGCTATTTAGGCCTACCGCTCTAAAAATTAGGTTTTACCACGGTTTTACCTCGTATTTTCAGATTTCATTAATGCGCTGAAGTTCTTCTGACGTTGTCCTTTTAAAAATTGGAATGATTCAGCTTTAATTGCCATTTTTGAATTCTTCTTGTGGCTTAATGCTTTCCTTAATACTAAAATTTTGGTGGCTCTACCCCTTTAAAACAGATTTTTAGATTTTTCAATGTCCCACACCCACGGCCCGCAATGCATCTGCCAGATTTGCACATGCGGGTAAGTTTTTTTGTATTAAAAAATCATAGAGCCAAATCACAATAATAATTTTTATGGTTTCTTTTTCAGCCGCCACCGTTGCCCGCACGATCGAAACGCCAGTAACCTCAACTTTGGCGACGACTCCAGCGGCTTCCAGCGAAAGGTAATCGCGTTCTGCGCTTCGGTTTTTTTTCTGCCCCGGTACCTCCTCAGCTAAACAAATATCCAATTCAGGAGTATGCAGTGGCGGCTGGAGGCGAGCGCAGCCCCGCCAGAAAGCCACGAGGCGAAATTTCACCCCAAAATCTTGGAGCCACCGCCGACGCGACGATGGTTGGTGTTTTTTTGGCTATTTGAAATAGTTTTTCATCAAGTCTGAGCTTCCTAACAACTTTTCAAAATTTATCGGACCTAAGCCTAAACCTCAGCTTAAGTCTCAGTGCAAAACTAAACCTAAGCCTACGCCTAGCATAAGCAGAAGCGCAATCCTAAGCCTCAATTTTTGACTGTCTCTTTTATATCGATTTCATTTACACCCTTCAGATGAGCAGAAGCGAAACCCGCGAAGCCTACCAAGCCGCTGATGGCGACGCCAAAAACCGCTTCGTCACCTCGGCCGCTTTCAAGAAACGAAACCAACAATCCCAGGTTCGAATTTTTATGGGCATCGTCTTGACAACAGAAAAGATTTTATACAGCGACAGGAAATGTTAAATTAGTTCAGCTCGTCGGCCTCTTCTAGATACTCGGGGTTAAACATTAGCGGGTCGCTGCGTTTCCCGAATCTAAAAATAATTGAATTAGAAAATTTGTTTGGTTGACTGCATTTTGAAAACAGGACTCAATGGATCTTGATGATGAGGTAAGAGCAAGCTTTTATTATGTTGCTCCGGGTAATAAGAATTTGAAGTAAAAAATGGAAACTAACCTAATCAATGCGCTCCTGTGTGGTGCTGCTCTTCCGAAACGGACGAGGGCTTGGCGATAGGGTCTTCGGTCTTCCCTAAAATTAGCGATAGATAGGCTTTGAAGAGAGAGGGAGAGTGAGAGAGAGCGCGAGCGATTCAGAAAGATGAGAACTTCCGGCTTTACATCGCGCTTTGCTGGCACTCCCCCTTTAAAAGATACCTCTAGAGACTGGAGCTCGTTTCTAAGCGACCATATCACTTTAACTTACATGAACGGACTTGCCGACACCGAAAACACGGCCAACAAGGCGATCAGCACGAAATGTAGAAGGCGCATTGTGCACAGCGTTACCTGAAAATTCTGAGAATTTGATCATAGAACGCTTCCAGTAGAAAAGGAAAATGAAAACCAGGAAATGACATCCGGGGACCCGGGGGCACGAAAAACTATGGCGAATGCGCCCATAAAGTTGCCGGAAGCCGTTTAATTTCGGAATTCTTTGGTAGGCGAACATGGTGACTGCAAAATTTGGGAAAAACCACTCTTGCAACGGGTTCTCGGCTAGACTGGAAGTAATAAGTTCATAGGTTGGGAAGTGACGGGGTAGACGGGTGTTGGGTAGTCTTTGAATAATGCATCTTGTAAGAAGTAGACTGCTATGAACGTGACTAGGGGGAACGTAGGTAGTCAATGAGGGTTTTTAGGGTAGGTTCGAGCGCAAAACAAAACAATGAGTCATTTTTGAGGGGTTAAGAAGCGATCGGTTCTCCCACCAGGCACATTTTCGATACTTAATATTTTCGAATAGATATTTTCGAATTTTTAATAACTTTTTAACAGTTTTTACGTTTTTACAACTGTTTGGAAATTTTACCTCTATTTATAGTAGAAAAATTGGGGTTTTAGAAAAAAGTTGTCCCCCCGATAAGAGTCTAGGCGACTACGTAATACATCAAGTGGAATGTCAGTTACTTTGTGACAGTCCATAGGAGGCCTGGCACGTAGTCAAATACCCCTAGTTGAAAGGTGGAGTCGAAACTTGGTCTTACGGGTCCATTCTAAGGGATGGTGACATGAGAATTTAGCGTCGGAAGCTTTTGAGTAGTCGGATTCAAGAAAGATATTTGGAGATGCATATGTATATGAGGACCAGAATTGTCTCTTTAAAAAGCTAAAAAGCTGGGATCTTGGCTGTTTTCAGTAAGTCGATAGACTTATATCGTCAGCTACAACTAAAAAAGACCCACATTTCGAACTTCCAAATACAAACAACATGACGTTTTCGAGCCCTAGACCACCCTAATCGTATCTGCCGTGCTGAGTACCACCCGAAAAACTAAGCGATCACCGCCCTGAAGCGAGTGGCGTGCCCAGATTTGGTTAGCTTGAGCCCCCGAAGCAACCCAAGGGCGGAAACCGGGAAACGAGAATAGAAACTTCAACCCGCCTGGGGGGCCTCCTCCCCGGAATACACAGGGGATTGTGGTGGTGTGTGTATGCGGGTTTCGCCTCGGAGCAATAGGCCCCTGGGCTTGAAATTCATCTTGTAAACCCCTACACATACCCCCCACAAAACCCCCACCACCGCCCCTTATGGCCATTTCCCAGGAGGGCAAAGATGCCCCACAAAAAGAATTCGGTGGTCCCTGGCCAGCCACTCGGATAAATGGGCTCAACAATGCACCAAGCAAATCTAAAATTTATGGATTTGGTCCGGGGGCCGTTCGTTGGTTTTTTTGGGGTTGAACGTCTGGAACGGGGGATTTCTGAATTGGTCACCCGGTCTTCGTTCCGCATTCTCAAGAGGGTGGCATTGGTTTTTGGGGCAAGATATAGGAGCAGAATAGCAAAGCGAAAAGAAGAAACGGTCGTGATCTTGGCGTTGGACTTTCAACTTTTTTGTGGCTTTAAAGGGAATTGGCACGGACCGAGTTTTTAGCCATCAATTTTTTATGAATTTTGGCCTGAACGCGACACGCAACGCGCTCGCGGCTCTTGGGTTGAGGCCTTTCTTGCAGCGGTTGCAGCGGCGTCTTGCAAATTAAGTGTTACGTGCGTTACAAAATGCGGCGAGGAATAATGCCCAAAAATCCTGGGCGCGTAGCCTTAAAGGTATAGGAGAATATGTCGGCTGATTCGAATGGCAGCAAATGGTTTTAACTCCTGCAACTATAAATAGTAAATATAGTACTCCAAATATAGTAGCACTTTTACGACCAAACATCCCCTTAAATAAGCGAAAAAAACCTACTTCAAACAAATGGAAATAGCTAGCAAAACAAGCCTGACATCACCGTGAATACGTTAACACACCTATATTTGTGCTATGTGTCTTGCCGTAAACCCACCCCAAAATACCGGTAGAATGCGCAAAACACATGACTTTTCGGCATTTATATGGCCCTAAATCATTTCATGCTTACAAAATGGTAACCCCGAAATGGAATCGGGATGGAAAACGTAATTGCTTGAGGCTCGCGCTGTGAGACATCGGATCGTTTGGGTCGCACGAGCAAAATAGAATGCATGCCATTTGGTTTCGGGGTATGGCTGGGGAAGCGTGGTTGCTGTTTTAAGAAATCAAAGAATGTGAGTAGAAGCCGGAAACCAGACCTTAAAGCTTCCTGCGAAAAAGTTTATATAGTGGTGCCCGGACCGTTCGTGGAAGCCATTAAAAACGCAATAACCATTATTTGGCACTTACCTACACGCGATCTTTGGCCCCACAACAGATACTTTCCAAAACCTCAAGAACCGGAAGCTTAAAAGCATCTTGCAGCGCATAAATCAGTGCCAAAAAGAAATGCGGGCGATTTCCGAACCCTCCGGGGAGCAACTTATCATTGCCCCCGCATATGACGTGCCTGAAACAGCATGTTTTGGGTATCTAAAAGAGGGAAATACTAAAGGCGCACCTAAAAAAATCTAAAAATACTTTCGTACCCCCCGTATTTCAGATCTTTGACTCGAATGGCAACGACTCGAACAGCCGGATATTGGGACGACGTGAACAAGGTTGGCGTTTGGTCTATTGAATCTGGGTGCTGGCCAAGGCGCGCGTTCCGTATCCAGATGCTAATCAGATTTTGGAAGAACCACTATTTTCAAGACCGGGCTTTTTTAGACAAGGTGTTGTTTTGAAATCAAAGAACGTCTAGCCATTTTCAAACCTATCTGGTTTCAAATGTTTTGTATCACAAAGATATAAAGGTAAAAAACGGTTGTAAGTTGTGAAGTTTCGGAAACTCGTTGTCACTAAAAAAAGTCTCCTCGTTAAACTAAGAACAGCTCTAGGAAAATTAACGAAATTGCAATAACCTAGCAACTAATCGGAAAACATGCGCCCAATTCGTGCGTGTCTATAGACACAACTTCGAGAAAACCGAAAACCAATTCCAGTGTCCCGCGACGAAATGGTCGACAAGGAAAAAGCGACGAACAGCAGGGTAAGCGCAGCCTCTTTTTTCGTTCGGCTTCTCGTGGTTGTGCGCCATTGCATGCGTTCAGGAGGCCACCCCTCAAATCAGCCCCAACTCTACTGCAGCAATCGAGAGCAAATTGACCGCCACCCCGCTTTCACGCTACAAACGACAACACTTACTGCAATCGAGCCTGACTTTCGGTGACGAGGACGCCAAACCCTCTCCCACAGTGGTCGTCAAGCAAATTGAAGTCAAGGCGGAAACCGTTCCTTCTTATGCACGCTCAACCGAAGCGGCACGCAAGAAAGTGGCTGTGGTTTCTGGTGTGGTGGTCGAGAACAATCATGATAAGGTATTTTCGCATGCTATGTGGGCTTTACTCGGCGCTGGACCAGTACTTGCAACGCATAATCGATCTTTAGAGCCAATCCGTGTCGCGAAGTGACTTTGCCGGGGTGCAAGGGGATCGCGTGGAAGTTCGACGACCAAAGGAAAACCAGATATTTGAGGTACCAATTTTTTGACATCATGAATGTTAAATTCCTTTAGCGACACGCAAATGGCATAATGGGTACCTCCATGACAAGAAGTGACTACTCCCCGAAGAAGGGCGATCGCTATGAAATCAGGAAGCCCGTCGACAGTAAAATCTTCGAAGTAGTCAGACAGTTTGCCGGTATATCCCAACTTTTCCTTTAGCGCGATGGAAAAGCGGTCGGCTCGAGCGTCACGAGAAGTGAATTTGTCCAACAAAAGGGCGACCGTTATTCGACAAAAAAGCCGCAAGAGAATGAGATATTTCAGGCAAGCTTTGCATTAAAAGCTAATGCATCCTTTTAGAAAGGCGGCATCGACGGTCAAAGCCAGAATCAGAAGGACTTCCAAGCAGGACGAGGCGATCGCTATGATGCTGTGAAGCCTGGAGCATCAGACATCTGGAACAAGGAAGGCGGCGTCGAGCAGATGACCGTCAACCGCAGCGAGTACAGCGCCAAGGCCGGCGAACGCTACGATGTCGTCAAGCCGAAGGAGTCGGACTTGTTGAGGGGAGACGGCCACTTCGAAGGCCAGACCCAGAATCAGAAGGACTTCCAAGCAGGACGAGGCGATCGCTATGATGCTGTGAAGCCTGGAGCATCAGACATCTGGAACAAGGAAGGCGGCGTCGAGCAGATGACCGTCAACCGCAGCGAGTACAGCGCCAAGGCCGGCGAACGCTACGATGTCGTCAAGCCGAAGGAGTCGGACTTGTTGAGGGGAGACGGCCACTTCGAAGGCCAGACCCAGAATCAGAAGGACTTCCAAGCAGGACGAGGCGATCGCTATGATGCTGTGAAGCCTGGAGCATCAGACATCTGGAACAAGGAAGGCGGCGTCGAGCAGACGACCGTCAACCGCAGCGAGTACAGCGCCAAGGCCGGCGAACGCTACGATGTCGTCAAGCCGAAGGAGTCGGACTTGTTGAGGGGAGACGGCCACTTCGAAGGCCAGACCCAGAATCAGAAGGACTTCCAAGCAGGACGAGGCGATCGCTATGATGCTGTGAAGCCTGGAGCATCAGACATCTGGAACAAGGAAGGCGGCGTCGAGCAGATGACCGTCAACCGCAGCGAGTACAGCGCCAAGGTCGGCGAACGCTACGATGTCGTCAAGCCGAAGGAGTCGGACTTGTTGAGGGGAGACGGCCACTTCGAGGGCCAAACCCAGAATCAGAAGGACTTCCAAGCAGGACGAGGCGATCGCTATGACGCTGTGAAGCCTGGAGCATCAGATATCTGGAACAAGGAAGGCGGCGTCGAGCAGATGACCGTCAACCGCAGCGAGTACAGCGCCAAGGCCGGCGAACGCTACGATGTCGTCAAGCCGAAGGAGTCGAACTTGTTGAGGGGAGACGGCCACTTCGAAGGCCAGACCCAGAATCAGAAGGACTTCCAAGCAGGGCGAGGCGATCGCTATGATACAGTACGACCTGGCGCATCAGACATCTGGAACAAGGAAGGCGGCGTCGAGCAGATGACCGTCAACCGCAGCGAGTACAGCGCCAAGGCCGGCGAACGCTACGATGTCATCAAGCCGAAAGAATCCGACCTGCTTCGAGGTGATGGTCACTTCGAAGGCCAGACGCAAAATCAGAAGGACTTCCAAGCAGGACGAGGCGATCGTTACGATGCTGTGAAACCTGGAGCATCAGACATCTGGAACAAGGAAGGCGGCGTCGAGCAGATGACCGTCAACCGCAGCGAGTACAGCGCCAAGGCCGGCGAACGCTACGATGTCGTCAAGCCGAAAGAATCCGACCTGCTTCGAGGTGATGGTCACTTCGAAGGCCAGACGCAAAATCAGAAGGACTTCCAAGCAGGACGAGGCGATCGTTACGATGCTGTGAAGCCTGGAGCATCAGACATCTGGAACAAGGAAGGCGGCGTCGAGCAGATGACCGTCAACCGCAGCGAGTACAGCGCCAAGGCCGGCGAACGCTACGATGTCGTCAAGCCGAAGGAGTCGGACTTGTTGAGGGGAGACGGCCACTTCGAAGGCCAGACCCAGAATCAGAAGGACTTCCAGGCAGGACGAGGCGATCGCTATGATGCTGTGAAGCCTGGAGCATCAGACATCTGGAACAAGGAAGGCGGCGTCGAGCAGATGACCGTCAACCGCAGCGAGTACAGCGCCAAGGCCGGCGAACGTTACGATGTCGTCAAGCCGAAAGAATCCGACCTGCTTCGAGGAGATGGTCACTTCGAGGGCCAAACCCAGAATCAGAAGGACTTCCAAGCAGGACGAGGTGATCGTTACGATGCTGTGAAACCTGGAGCATCAGACATCTGGAACAAGGAAGGCGGCGTCGAGCAGATGACCGTCAACCGCAGCGAGTACAGCGCCAAGGCCGGCGAACGCTACGATGTCGTCAAGCCGAAAGAATCCGACCTGCTTCGAGGAGATGGTCACTTCGAGGGCCAGGCCCAGAATCAGAAGGACTTCCAAGCAGGACGAGGTGATCGTTACGATGCTGTGAAACCTGGAGCATCAGACATCTGGAACAAGGAAGGCGGCGTCGAGCAGATGACCGTCAACCGCAGCGAGTACAGCGCCAAGGTCGGCGAACGCTACGATGTCGTCAAGCCGAAGGAGTCGGACTTGTTGAGGGGAGACGGCCACTTCGAAGGCCAGACCCAGAATCAGAAGGACTTCCAAGCAGGACGAGGCGATCGCTATGATGCTGTGAAACCTGGAGCATCAGACATCTGGAACAAGGAAGCCGGCGTCGAGCAGATGACCGTCAACCGCAGCGAGTACAGCGCCAAGGCCGGCGAACGCTACGATGTCGTCAAGCCGAAAGAATCCGACCTGCTTCGAGGTGATGGTCACTTCGAAGGCCAGACGCAAAATCAGAAGGACTTCCAAGCAGGACGAGGCGATCGTTACGATGCTGTGAAACCTGGAGCATCAGACATCTGGAACAAGGAAGGCGGCGTCGAGCAGATGACCGTCAACCGCAGCGAGTACAGCGCCAAGGCCGGCGAACGCTACGATGTCGTCAAGCCGAAAGAATCCGACCTGCTTCGAGGTGATGGTCACTTCGAAGGCCAGACGCAAAATCAGAAGGACTTCCAAGCAGGACGAGGCGATCGTTACGATGCTGTGAAGCCTGGAGCATCAGACATCTGGAACAAGGAAGGCGGCGTCGAGCAGATGACCGTCAACCGCAGCGAGTACAGCGCCAAGGCCGGCGAACGCTACGATGTCGTCAAGCCGAAGGAGTCGGACTTGTTGAGGGAGACGGCCACTTCGAAGGCCAGACCCAGAATCAGAAGGACTTCCAGGCAGGACGAGGCGATCGCTATGATGCTGTGAAGCCTGGAGCATCAGACATCTGGAACAAGGAAGGTGGCGTCGAGCAGATGACCGTCAACCGCAGCGAGTACAGCGCCAAGGCCGGCGAACGTTACGATGTCGTCAAGCCGAAAGAATCCGACCTGCTTCGAGGAGATGGTCACTTCGAGGGCCAAACCCAGAATCAGAAGGACTTCCAAGCAGGACGAGGTGATCGTTACGATGCTGTGAAACCTGGAGCATCAGACATCTGGAACAAGGAAGGCGGCGTCGAGCAGATGACCGTCAACCGCAGCGAGTACAGCGCCAAGGCCGGCGAACGCTACGATGTCGTCAAGCCGAAAGAATCCGACCTGCTTCGAGGAGATGGTCACTTCGAGGGCCAGACCCAGAATCAGAAGGACTTCCAAGCAGGACGAGGTGATCGTTACGATGCTGTGAAACCTGGAGCATCAGACATCTGGAACAAGGAAGGCGGCGTCGAGCAGATGACCGTCAACCGCAGCGAGTACAGCGCCAAGGTCGGCGAACGCTACGATGTCGTCAAGCCGAAGGAGTCGGACTTGTTGAGGGGAGACGGCCACTTCGAAGGCCAGACCCAGAATCAGAAGGACTTCCAAGCAGGACGGGGCGATCGCTATGATGCTGTGAAGCCTGGAGCATCAGATATCTGGAACAAGGAAGGCGGCGTCGAGCAGATGACCGTCAACCGCAGCGAGTACAGCGCCAAGGCCGGCGAACGCTACGATGTCGTCAAGCCGAAAGAATCCGACCTGCTTCGAGGAGATGGTCACTTCGAGGGCCAGACCCAGAATCAGAAGGACTTCCAAGCAGGACGAGGCGATCGCTATGATGCTGTGAAGCCTGGAGCATCAGACATCTGGAACAAGGAAGGCGGCGTCGAGCAGATGACCGTCAACCGCAGCGAGTACAGCGCCAAGGCCGGCGAACGCTACGATGTCGTCAAGCCGAAAGAATCCGACCTGCTTCGAGGAGATGGTCACTTCGAGGGCCAGACCCAGAATCAGAAGGACTTCCAAGCAGGACGAGGTGATCGTTACGATGCTGTGAAACCTGGAGCATCTGACATCTGGAACAAGGAAGGCGGCGTCGAGCAGATGACCGTCAACCGCAGCGAGTACAGCGCCAAAGCTGGAGAACGTTACGCCGTTGTTAAGCCAAAGGAGTCCGATTTGCTGAAAGGAGATGGGAAGTTCGAGGGCAAAACACAGAACCAGACAGATTTCCTTCCCCAGGTTGGGAATCGTTTGGATGCTGTCCGGCCGCAAGACTCAACGCTTTTCAAGGTGAGCCTTCAGGCGTCTTATATTACCAGTCATTCATTTTAGTCATCCGATAAATTCACGGTCGACTCGGTGCATCGCTGCGAATTCACCGGGGCTCCAGGAGAGCGGTTCGAAAAGCGGGTGCCGAGCGCAAACCTAAAGGTTGGGCTGGGTGACATGGAGCTGACTACACAGTATGATTCCGACAATATCTGGCGAAGAAGACCGCGTCAGGTGGGTAGACAGTTCTGTGCCCGCGACGACCGTTTTTTTAGGCGGGAAGCCAAAGCGACATCCCGACGCTGCCGCCGTTGACTCCGGTGAAGCCATCGCAGACGCGTTCAACGGAATCTCTGTTCGTCGACACAAACATGGACTTCGGGACGAACTATCGAGAAGCCTTCCGCGGATGCCACTCGGATGTGCGGTTGCAGCCCATTCGTCGTGGCGACAATATCATATCCCCCGGCGGAGGTAAGGCTTTTGCCAAAACAACAAGAACCGGATCGTCGAACCATGAGCCTTTTTGCATTTTTGTAAGCCTTGCATTTGCAACCAAAAATTCAACCGATCTACAAGAAAGAAGCTAAAATCAATACAATCCTATTTTCCTCATTTAGCAATGGTCAGCAACACCGAGTACCGCCAGTCCTACGTCCCGACAAAGGCCGATCGGGGACAGGCCTGCCAGCCGACTTCCTCCCTAAAACTGGAAGGCGGCCAAAGTATGCATAGCAATTATGATATGGTAAGCCAAGTTTTTCTATCTTATCGATTTTCTAGGAATTCCGCTTCAAACAAGTCCAATGCCTGGCGGGTGAACTTTTGGAGAGTGTCCAACACAACCACACCGACACCCGCCATTTCCGCTTCAAAAAGCAGAATGGACCCCATCATTTTTACGATCCCAAATCAGCGGCCAGCTCTGCAAGAACTAGCACTACCCAATCGTAAACTTCTTTCATGCAATCTCTGCCAGCATTATTCGCCTATCGGGTTACTAATCCCATGTTTTGTCGTGTGCTATCAGCCGAGCTTATGCACCAAGGATTTATCTTGATGTTTTATATATTTAATAAACCTATACTATTTGCAAGTCCATCCGAAAGTGCGCAACGAACAGGTCGCATAGATATGATAGAGTGGCTTTCGGCCTTCGACCAGCCGACTAGCCGCCAGAGCGTGTTTTCCCAGCGTGTGCTAATTCCGACCCCTCGGGCGGCTGATTGATTGAAGCCGAGCTGATGGTCTTTTTAGCAGTCTTATTTATTGGCGGAAGTTTTCTGTTGGGCGCTGATGGCCAATTATTAGAAGTTTTTGGGTTGTCGACCGGAAATACTGGAACGAAGGAGCGAGCGCCGTTTCAAGATATTGCTAGGTAAAAAAATCAGAAATATCTAACTACAACTTCAGCCAATCGGTTGGGCTGATCAATTATCTGCAGACTATTCAGAAGAACCCGGACAATCAACTTGTCAAAAGGTAAGAACAAGGGTCTTCTAATAGTGAACTTCTAATAAAAACAAAGACTCAAAGCAGAACAATAAACCGATAATAAAACATAGTAAAATAAACAGCAAAACATATTAGTGTATACAAGAAATAACAAAAATTGTAAAACAAAACAGAAAGCGAAATAGAACGACGTTCCAAAAAATAAACGGGCTGGAATTCTGTAGAAGCTTTTTTATCACCATCTGCACCTTCCATATGCAAATAAACTTATCGAAATCTTTAGATTACAAAGCCCTTTGCCGCAAGTAAACTTTGTCAACGGATTACCCGTGATCCCGGGAGTTGTCGGGTCGTTGCCCGGCGCCGGGGCCTGTCTGCCAAAGGGTTCGCCTTTGGTGAAACAACGGTAAACCAATTTCTGTTTTACTTGTCCCTAGTTATTTGTATATATCTTTTTAGCTCACCGAGCTTCTTTCAAAATATTGTCCGCAACATTCCGGGCGCCCATGATTACTTATCTTCATTTTTGCCATCCCCGAAAGTCGACATTGACGCTCTCTATGGCAACTATCATTGGGTAGACTTTCATTGACGAATTTTACGCTTTTTAGGCCATATATACCCCTTCCGTACATGATCGTTTCTGCCCTTTGACTGAATGTATGCATTTCTTTTAATTTTTAATAAAATCACTGATTTTAAGTCGCTCCATCGGCCAAAAAAGGGAACGCGACCGCATTCAGTGTAGCGGAAAAGTTTCGCACTAAAAATGAGAATGGTGGCGAAAAGGTAGTTTATTTCTGTTGCGGTAGCTTCACATTTTTCTCTAGGTAGCGCTTGGCTACGGGCTTATGAACAACGGCAACACCTATGTTTACTTCCAGGACGATCCTTGCCCATGTGGGATAATTCGGCTTTTAGTAGCTTTTAGATGAAATTGTAATCGTAGGACCAAAGCACCAATCTGGACAGTATGAATACGTGGTGCTGTCGAACTGGGCCCGGTCAGTCTCGGGCTACTTCTAGTTATATAAGGACTATTACAGGTTTCCAGTGATCGCTATGGCGCGCGACATTCGAAGCTTTTACAAGGCGCACAAGGATAAGCTGGAGGATGCGCTGACGAAGGAGGGATTCTCGACTGAATATGCTGGGTATACTTCACAAGCTGTTTTTAATCGTCTTTTGCAATTAGCTTGACGACCGGGCACCTCTCTTACGTCGACTGGTCAAAGTGCCGGCCCGCCACTCCAGTGTCGTACCTTCGCAACGTTTTGACCGAACTTTTCGGCTAGGAAAGAATTTCATATTTATACCAGCACCGATGAATAAATTATCACAGCTTTGTACAAACATCACAAGGTATGGCGATCACGAACGAGTTCAGGGAATATTTGGTTGGTCACAGGACATAGATGAGGATATGGCATACAATCGGAATGCACTACGTATCCGCTTGGGATTGCCTTGAGCTTCTGGGCTAGGAAGAGACCGCGGTTGCACACCGGGCAGTTGCTGTCTTCGTCGACCTGAAAAGAGGCGTAGTTTGGAATGTTTTGTGCTTTGTGTTTTGTCTAACCCAGTGCAAAACTCAGTCAACTCACATAAATTGGCTTTGCATCAGGCTTCTCTAGTATAGGCTCTGCGCCATGATCCGCAAACGATTTGGCGAGCTCCAGCATCTTTTGTTTTGATCCCGAGAGTGATAGTGCACTTCTGACGAAGGACGAGATTTCTTTCACCTTAACTCCTTGATCCACAGGGCAGGATAGGTTTACCTTGATCGTAGACGGCAGGTTCCGCAGCACTTCTTGCGGATCTGCATAACCCGCCATGCCATTTACGAGCCGAATCAAGGTTTCCTCGCTTGTTTTGATCCTGAAACTGCCTTTACTTTGAACACTTGGGTCCAAACCTTGGATTAGTCAAATATTCGCTCAACATGATCGTGCCCAGCTTCGGATTTCCTTGTCCAAACCTTGAGCAAACCTCCTCGGCCAATAGAATTTCCTGCTCTTTCAGCAGCTTAGGTACGGCGGTTACAGGGTCCGCCTGACCAGAAAAATCAGTATAATGCCCAAAAACTAACCCTTGCGTCCAGCAAAATTAATTCGACCGCGAGACCCTTCCGGTTCTTGCAGGCTAGCAAGATATCATCTTTGTTGAGGGAATCGGAAGTCAGCAAAAGCTCGCGAAGTTTCTTTTTGATATCATTTGTTTCATCTAAAAGGCTTTACGGGTCTTTGAAGTTGTCAAACCGGTAGGGTTACTTTTCAAGTAAAATAGAGCAAGTTTCGTATCCCATTTCCGGCTCCCGAGCCTCCGTTCGTTTTCCAAGAACCATAGATAGAGATCAGAATGGGGTTTCAGAACCTCGGCCACTTTCTCGGAGTCGTGTTTTCGGTGATATTTTTCCAGAAACTAAAAAAAGCTGAAGATGACTAAGAACTTTTCTACCTCTTTCGTTCTATCAGGTGCTATTTTGCACAACCAGGTTAGTGCCAACAGGAAATTTTGCTGCTTTTCGATCATGGGCAGATATTCGAAGACCGTTTCAACGGCAAAATCTGCATCTTTGAGATTTCCTTCTGCCAGTTTTTGCCACAGTTCGAGTGCCTACAAAAGACATTGGTCAAAAAAATTGAAGTACCTTTTCTTCTTTCCCCAAATGAAACTTCACGATAGCACCCAAGGCCGTTTTCTCATATCGTTCCAGAAATTCCTCAAGTCTTGGAAGATCAAGCTGGGGAAAGGCGGTAATCTCGGTATTGCCATCGAGAATCGCGAATTCAAGTAGCGCCGTTTTGATGTACTAAAAGGGTTGAATTTCGGTTGCCAATCTTACCATTTCTTGCTCAGGCGTTTTATTGATGTTTTCCAACGTCCATTCGAGGTATTCCCTAATGAAGGTTTGCACAGTTTCGGCGTCGGCATTTTTGACGGAATCGATTGAGCTCTGCTCATGTAGTTGTGTTGGCATAAACTCGACCAGAATTTTCGGGCAAAGTTGAACAAGCTAAAGTTTTGTTGATCTATTGCTATCATAATCAATCTACCTCAGAAGGGTCCAGTTCGCCTAACCGGAACAATTCATCAGCGCCATCAAAGTTTCCCTCAAAGAAGTGATGGAAGCCAATTTTCTGGTAGAGGTGATTCAGTTTCTAAAATTACGCGTTTGCATTTGTATTCCTATGTCTACCACTATATTCTCTTCCGAATAACTCGATTTCAGATGAGCTTCTGCGAATCGTAGAGCATCTTCATATTTCCCGTTGGTAAGAAGCTCATCGACCTTAAAGCAATCGTAACTTACAAGGAGTGCTTTTTTTGAGTCATCGGCAAAACTTACGAGACCTAGCCCATTCGATAGAGAATTCGATTCTGAACAAAACCCCGTTGTTCTTTTTTGCAGAATGGCTAACCCTGATTTTATAAAATTAAAATACTAGTGACCGTCTCTTACCATGAGTGCCAAAAGAGCCAAAAGAGAAACTTTTGGGTGCAGTTTTAAAATTTTATAAAATCAGGGATAGCCATTCTGCAAAAAAGAACAACGGGGTTTTGTTCAGAATCGAATTCTCTATCGAATGAGCTAGGTCTCGTAAGGTTTTGCCGATGACTCAAAAAAACGCACTCCTTGTTAGCCGGGTGGTGCGGAAGCCAAACCTGTGTCTCCCACGAAATCAGTTCGATCGAAAATGTTTCACTTCCGGTGCAAGCCCAGAGACAGCCATCAAGATTGGTAACATGGGCAACCCCTTGTATGACTATGACTTGTTCCACCCGCAAGGAATTTGTTCTAGAACTTAAATTTTTCCCGATACTCTGGTACTCACGATAAGATGTAAATCTTCCCTTCAGTGCACACAAACAAATAATCCTGGAACTGCATGAAGTTCCGAATAGGTGGTGTAGGTATCGGAAACGGAGGTCGCGTGCTTACTCCCGTGGCAGAAGCAATTATGCAGAGCCCGTCCATACCGGCAAGCAAGAATTCGCCCTAAAATTATTGTTTTGGAAGCATCGAAGCCTAACGTTACCTGATCGACATTAGCCACCAATGGCCTCGTCAGGACTGTCGGCTCAAATGGGAACAGACTAATGGCTCGGCGTGAAATGTTGTCATACACAAAATATTCGGCGCCAGAGGAATAGCAGATGGTATATTTGTTGTATGCCATTGCCAGGACGTGGCCTGGGCAATTCAATCGCTGTATGTTGTGGTTTTGCCCATTCTTTTTCTCGAGGACTAGGATCTGGAAAGATATATTTTATTTACGTCGAATTTTTACAAACCTTCTTATTCGTCGTCGACGTGGCGAACTGAAGCGCAAAGGGATCATCAGAGGTGGGATTTGTATTGATCGTCAGCGCGATGGTGTCCGACTTTTTGGAGATAATCTGGCATTCTTGGCTGTTAAGACAAATCTAAACCTACTTCTCGTGTCTCCAGTGATATTTCAAACAAAATTTGATTCGAAATAACGAGGAGAATCTCCAGGGCTGACGCGTAATCAATAGAGACGACTGGCTTCCTCTAAAGATTTTTAAGTTTTTTTTGTTCACTGATTTCACTTACGCTTGGTAGTTGTATAGCTCCCAAGATTCTCAGCGCATCCTCATTTTGCTTTTTGACGAGCTGGTAGTGCAAAACACGCCCTATCGAAGTTCCGAGAAAAACCTCGCTTGCACATCCACCTACGCAGGTGATCTGAAGCACGTACCATGAGTAAAAATTGTCTTACCTCTTCATCAGCTTCAAATTCGCCCGAAACATCTCTTTTCAAAGAATAATGAAATAACGAAATCCCTTCTTTCATTTGTATCTACAAAAGAAGGTCTGGTTACGCCGGATAAAGTAAAGTAAGTAGGAGCGCGTAGGATGCTCCCGTAATGTGTATCCCCACGTAACCCAGGGCTATCTTGCCGCAAATTGCACATCTGTTGCTTTATTCGGTGCATTTCAAACTTAATAAGATTGTTTTCCAGCAACCCATAACCATAGCGGGAATTTTTGATAGTGTGTAGATAGAGGAGAAATCACAGGGGAGGGACAGCTTTGCAACGAGGTGCGGGGATCACAGATTTAGAAATGCGGAGGTGTAGGCAAGTATGAAAATTATATAGCGAGCTCTAGAAGGCTTCTTTGATCTGGGTAAATGGGCGAACAGCCAAGTCCACCGGTAGCGTTACGTTGTAGGGATGAAGGCTTTCGAGGAGCGTGTAGAGCTCTTCGCAGCCTAAATTGACCTCAATTTTTCAATTTAGACGTTACTAACCTGTTCTGGCCACATAAGACCAGGGATGGAAGCAATAGTCGACGACTTGGCGCGTCCGGAAGATGATCCGAAGCCAGGCAGGCAGTCTCCGCTCATTTAGGGCTGCTGACACAAATGCCTTCCACTGTGCGTCGTAGGATCTTCTCAACCGAGCATGTGAATTGATGATGCTTTCGATAGCTCCGATGAGGGCCTAAAAAATTCACATGATTTTTTATGCGTTCAACCAACCTGCTTTGACGTCACCGTCCTTCCCGCAACATTTTCCAAGGCAAAGGACTGGCTGAGGTGTCGAACCGGCGCGTCCGCAGCATCCCTTCCATTTTTTAGATCGTAGAAGAAGAGTATTACATCCCAGATATGATGCAACGGTTTAGTTTTGTTGCTCACACCTGAAAATAAACTCGTTCTTAAGTTTATTAAGTTCACATTACCTGGGTGGGCTCTTGCATTTATACACCCGATTCCAGCAGAAAAGGAAGGTCCCTTTGCCGCTTCATCGAGCAGTCCATGCTCGAGAAGGGCACGGAGGGCAGGGCATAGTTGTTTTCGGACCACAGTCGTGACTTCTTCCTCGCTTTTGACGAACACTTCCTGAAAATATATAGGTTCAAGGGTCAAGTATTTTTGGAAAAAGACGTTTTGATACTCACATCACATAAAGTATCGGTACTAGTCCTGCCACAACTTGACGAAACGCCACTGTCGTTGTCGAAATCTAGCAGTGTATATTTTCGAAGCACCTCCTGTGTTGCATCCACTGCCAGTTGTAGTCTCGCTCTTTCATCACTGTAAGGGACCACTATCTTCCAGGAAAAGAAAAATACAAACCCGTAGTGATTTCCCTTTGGCGTGGCTTTCAATTGATTCTTCTGAAATTTCTTTGAAGACCACCCGATCCAGCTCGTTAGCCCTGACCCTTGGCTCTTCTTTTTGTCGTTGGGCGGATTGGAAGAACCAATTGCCTAAAATTCTAATAAACTTTCCCGAGCCCTCATACCTTTGTCGGCGAGTCTGGCTGTGCTGCTTCTCGTTGCAGATAGTTGACAAATCTTTCCAAATCGACAATCTGCGTCTGCAGCTGCTCCATCAGCTGCTCTTTTTCTTTGAAGGGATTCACTAGCTAAAATAATTTAGGTCTGGCGATTCATAGCTTCTATACCTCTTTTATAGCATCTTCAACCTGTTTCATCAAATCCGATTCGCTCATGCTATCAACGTGCAGATTTAAGTTTATTTTCTCTTGAAGCCTTTGCAGGACAGCTTTCTAAAAAATCGGCATTGGACTTCCAAATTTGCCTAACTCACTTGTTTCTGAATCACCATATTGCTGGGGATTTGCCCTTCGCCACTCTCATAATCCATTTTTTCCAGATCCTCAATTTGTTCTCGAAGTTGGTTGACGAGTTGTCGTTGTCTTTCCTATTTCTTGTTTTAATCTCGGCTTTGGTGTATTACTTTTTGCTTGGTTCTAATCTCTTCGTCGTCAACACTTTCACTCCGCATTCTTTTCAGCTCGCTGAGATCGGCGCACCCGCGGAAAGCAAACTCATGGAGCTCTTTGAGGAGCCGCTGGAATTGGGTCGATGTTTTGGGTTGCGAAATTCAATTTTTAGGGAGGTTTTAAATTAAAACCAAAAAAATCGTGCAAATAGACATTTGTAGGGCATGACAACCTGGGTCTTACGTTAGATAATTCCTTTGTGTTTTTGAATATATTTACATATCTATCCCTAATATTTATGCAAATCGACAAGTCCCCTGAGCCCAGAAACAAATATTTGGGACACGTGGGCCCTAGGCGTCGGCCCCTAACGTCCAGTTACACTCAAAAGCCGTTGGGCGCTCGCCGGCGGTACTCTAATGAGGCGCCCCGGCCTGCCTCGTCCCCGTGGCCTTGTGGCCTAATGGATAAGGCGTCGGTCTCCTAAACCGAAGATTGCAGGTTCGAATCCTGCCTAGGTCGAAATTTTTGCTTTTTGGATTTGGATTCGGAATTCGCTAGGGGAATTTGGATTTGATTACAGTTTTGGATGTTAGCCACATTTTTATGGCATGTGCGTCTGGAATTCGCGCCTACCTCCTTATCTTCAGGGCCGGCCTCCGTAATTTGCTTCAACCGGAACTGAACTTGTGCGAATTGACTTGATAGCGAAAATAAAGAATTATTTAGCCGTTCTTGTTCCTCCTCCAGTTCCATGAGGCGCCCCTCGTCTTGAACGCTGAAGAAAAATGATTTTTCCGACCGGTTTTAAGCTTGCCTGAGGGTCGGAGTTTGCTCTCCGTCGGACAACCTGGCCGATTGCCATTCGGCTTCGTAAAAAGGATCATCTGAAAGGACTGAAATTAAATTTCAACAATTTCTACCATTTGTTTCTGTGCTTATCAGCCTCGCTCTGTCGAAGCGCGGTGACGAGAAGGCGGCTTTGAATTCATTTTCGGAAAAATCGCCATCTGAGGCTTCTTGCATCATCTCATTACTGAAATAGAAATTTTTTCGTTACGCTTCAAGCTTGCAAAATATTCCCGAAAATGAAAATAAGAAAAAAAATTATGTCAAAAAAACTGGGGTTTTCGAGGCTTGCGAAATTTATGCTAGATATAGTCATACGAAATCGGTTGCGCTCCAATCCGAAACCTCCAAACGAGAGAAAATCAGGGAAATGATTCCAATTTCCGGATGAACACCACACGATGGCAAGGGATGACGTGGCGGGGGGTGGTGGCCATGTGTGGAGACGTCAGTAAGGGCCCTAGAGGCCCACAACGGCCCCTGGCCCCCTCCCACCCCATCGATCTGCTCCCTCTCCACCATAAAAGGCATTTCCTGCTCCCTCTGCCGCTCTGGGCCCTCGAGGTTTTGTTACTATTTCGTTGGTTCTTTCCGTGCCTTTTCTCGAGTTCCGATATCCGGAGTGGGGAAGAAGCGAAGAGATTATCTTGCAATTAGGCTGCTTCGCGGAGGCGCATCCATGCAGCAAAAGTTTCGAGAAGATGGATGCGACGTGGCTAGATATTTCGATTTTGAGAGAATTCAACACTCGTTGCGGTATACGTTGAATCGTTCGCAGTCTGCAGCTTAATGTCGTAGTAGTCTGCGTAGAAGTTTTAAGACTGCTTGTAGCTGAAATAACTACTGTAACGTTTCATGCGTGAAGCGGTGTTGTTGTCCCTAGTGCCACTTCCGGTTTAATTTTCGAAGCTGTCTTACTGGGCTTATTTGCGCTGTCAATCTGATTATAGCACCTCGTAATTCTCTTGCCGTCTTCCAGTCTTTGCTAACCAAGGGAAATAATTTTGTAATAAAGCCGAATATAGTTTTCATTCCTGCTTGATATTCGAGACTCTTTATTCCCTCAGAAATCCTCGACCCCCGCGACATGCAACCAATTTGCCCCATCTTACTTTGTGCACCTTCCGACCCTTTCCCCTTAGGTTGGCGAGTTATTTGATGAATCTGTTGGAGAGGCGGTGAGATAGAGAGGGACCCACAGGTGCTGAGAGGGTCCCGCATCCCAAAGGCCCACAGCACCTCTGTGGGTGAGACATTTTTCGTCGTCGACGGCCGCCCGGGGATCGTCTCTCCGGTGGCTCGTTTTCCCAGAAAACCCGCAAGCGCCCTGCTCTCATCAAAGAGGCCTCTATTTTGCCAAGGGGGAGCAAGCCCGCCTCGAGCCTCGATCACACAAATCTTTTCGGACTCGAGGAGTTCGGCCATCGATTGAGGGGTTTTTCAGGTCTTTAGAAAAAAGGGTGTTCGGTTTTTGTGAGATTGATGGTATGCAGCTCGAGAATTGCTCAAGAATCACGCTTTGAAAAAGCCCGAGTTTTTTGGCTTGAGTGCGAAAATCACCAGTTGACTTGTGTAAACCTGAAAGTCGGGCTATCAACTATAAGAATTCAGTAGTGGTGTCTGTCCGTCTGTCCGAAGCCAACTATAACTCGAAGGGGAAAGGAGGTAGAGCTTAGGTCTCTTCGGATTTGGATAGAGCGTAGTCAGAAACCCCTTAAATGAGCATAAAATTATGAAAAAGTTTTTGTTTAAATAAAAATAATTAACTTTGAAAGTGGCGCCTTAATAAAACGAGTGGGGGCCCTCTCCCCGGGAGGCCACGCCCCCTTTCTCTTCGCCCCTCTTCCCCAAGGCCCTTCCCGCGCCCAGATCGCTTTTTTCAGTTGTTTTAATACTTTTTAATTATCTTAATTCATTATTTAAATCCTTTAAAGTATCTAAGGCCATCACAAAGGGAGCGGAAGGGGTAGCCCGAAGTCCAGCCGCTTGCAGCGGCAAAGCCGCTGTAAGCGGCTGGTGAAGTTGAAATTTCCTTATCTGCATACAGGGGCGTAGCCAGAAAAAAATTTCGGGGGGGGCCCCCGAAAAATTTTTTCCGAAAAACTCAAAAAATTAAGGCAAAAACAGCGCCGCAGGCGAAAATTTTTGGAAAAAGGGTTGCATAACTCTACAAATAGCAGTAAAAACGTGTAAAAATAGCGCCGCAGGCAGCAAAATTTTTGAGAAAATAAAAATCATAAGGGTCCCCCCTTATGAAATTTTCGGGCCCCGGCCGATTTCGGGGGGGGCACCGGGCCCAGGGGGCCCACCTTACGCTACGTCCCTGTCTGCATACCCCTATAAGAGGCGCGGTTCTGGAAGAGTTGCAGGCGTAAAGTGTGAGGAGCGAAGAGCAGGTTCGGTTTAATTACCCAAATTTGAGGTTGGCATTAACCCCGAGAACTCCACGAGTGTCTCGAACAAATTTTGGAACGCATTTCCTTAGGGAAGTGCACGAATAATGCAAATGTGAGACGACTTCACAAAAATCTTGAATGTGGCTACGCAGCGCGTATGGTCGTTGTAAGTACGGGGAACAGGGTTATGCTACCTTTCAAGGCCTAATCAGGGCCAAACCGGTTTTTTGCATACTCAACTCACTTTACATCGGAAAGGGCACGAAAAAAGGTGAAATGAAAAAAATATAAGAGTCGCTCACCTGGAGCCGGGGCAGATGGTAAGGGCGGCGAGCGATCCACAGTTTCTAAGTTTGAGGTTAGCATTAACCCCGAGAACTCCACGAGTGTCTGGAACAAATTTTCGAACGCATTTCCTTCTGGAGCTGCAAATCTGGCTTTTTCATGAAAATCAGGAACGGAAAACAAATAAATGTGTGCATTCTTTTTACCGCCTTCGTCACTCCTTTAAATGCAAGTCAATGCATGATCTTCTTCTAAAGAATAAATCTTTATTCACAAAATATGCATCCTTAAAAATTGTGCGAGATATAGAGGGAGAACGAGGGTGTACACCTTACGTTTTGGAAATGGGCTCAGAATGTATTGGGGGTGGGGTGGTAGGTAGCCTTGATGTGGGGTAACAAAGACATCAGTGAGGGGGTGGGGGTGGACGTGTAGCGGGGGTGGGGGTGATCTTGATCGCTAGCACGTTCTGATGACTAGTTGAAGGCTAATTGGTGGGGGCCAATTCGAGGTGGAAAGGGTTCTGTCTATTAGTGTGTGTTTGCGGCGAGGAGGGGGCGGTGTGCGGGGTCGAACCCGTGGTGAGGAGCCGCGCACCGTCCTCGGCTCCTGCACGGCGCGGCCACGAGGGCGGAGATGGACAAAGAGATGGGCCTGAAGACGTCGAAGAGGGCGAGAGATGGGGTGGGGTGGAGAGAGAGCGAGAGATGGAAAGCGATCGGCTGTGATGTTATTTGCGGGGTGTCAGGCATTTAGGCCTTGGACAGCTCGTCGGCGGCTCCGGTGGTGATCAATCGGGCGAACGCCTTGTAGTCAACCTGAAAGAGGAAAGTTTGTAAAGAGAAGTTCTTAGATAGATAAAGCTTAACCCCAGACGTACGACGAGTTCAACGTGTTAAAAAGGTCTCAAATGGCAAAATGGCAAAATCTGAACCCCTTCATAATGACGTGTTTTCTCTAGTGTGACTTATTCAAGCCTGCCAACAAAATGTCTGAAACTCTCACCTCTCCGTTCTCAATTGGGGGCTTGCCCTTGTACATGGCCTGGATCTCGTCGTCATCAAGGGGCTCGCCTCGCTTGTTCTGCAGGATCTTGAGCAGCTCGTCCTCCTTCAGCTTGCCACAGTCTTTCTTGTCGAACATCTGCAAAAAGAGGTTTTTATCGTAATCTTAAAGTCACAAGTTTTCGTCACTAATTCCTTCAAAATCTTGTAAATCTGCTACCTGGAAGGCTCCGATGATGGTGGCCTCGGGGTCAGTGCCGGTGAGGCGCTCGCCGAACAGCGTCAAAAAGGTGGTGAAGTTCAGGGGTCCGGAAGCCTAGAAAAATGGGTATGTCGGGTATACATTGAAGATAAAATATAGTACATTAAGGCTGTTCTACACGTTATATGACTGACCTCTTTGAGCATGGCGTCAAGCTGGCTGTCGGGAGCGACCTGGCCGAGCGAGGCATACAGGTCCTTCAGGTCGTTCTAGAAATCGGTTTTTGGTGGGTGATTTGTAAGACGATGTGGAAGATGATTATAGGTGAAAAACTAGCTGTGACCATCCCTTTAAACCCCGCTTACCTTGTCGATGATGCCGTCCTTGTTCTGGTCCATAATACCGAAGGCCTCCTTGAACTCCTGGATGGTCTTCTGGTCGAAGGTGGCTCCCTGGGATCCGGACCTCGCCTTCTTCGAGGACTTCTTCTTCGCCTTTTTCTCAGCCATTCTAGCGCTCCTGGCAGGAAATTACCTGGAAATTCGGCGGTTTAATTTTTTTCTTTCTTCTGATGTTTGAAGCACAGGGAAAGCAAAGAGGGATGTGGGTGGATTTGGAAAAGAAAAGAAAAGAAAAAAGAGGGCTGAAAGGAGATTTCGGAGGGCAGTGTTTGTCGACTGGTGGGAGTGGGGGAGGGAAGAAGGGGCACTCAAAACTGTCAACGTGACGCCGGGATAACGGAGGTTGGGTGGGGGTAGATTTTTTGATCTGCCTCTGAATGCAAATCGCGGGGTGATAGAAGTGATGAAACATTAACTTAAAATGGGCGTTTTTCAGGGATTCAAAATGGATTAGACGATTTTAAACCCAAAAATGATGTTCTTAGCTCCGTCTGATCAGTATTTTGTATGTAAAATAGGCCAGGATATTGTAAATCGGGTGAGAGGTATGGAAGACTTCATTTAATGTTGTCACCTAGGTGACTTCCGCTTAGAATTATTGATTTTTTGGCTTTGATAGTAGCCATAAAAGTTCTAAAATTGCAAAAGCCTCAAATTGGCATGCAAATCGAGAAATAAAGAAAAGAAAAGAATCTGGAGATAAAAATCATAAAAAAAAATCCGCAAAGGAAAGATAAAAATGTGTAAGATTTTAAATGAAGTTTAGAAATATCAGGAAATCGTATCAGATCGATAGCTGAAGCCCAGCTCCCAGCTCAATTAAGTAGATGAACAAGCCCGAGGAAACCCTACAGTAACACAAGCCAACTTAAAACCAAAGTTGAACTCCGAACCCCCGATCGATACCCCCAAAATTCTACAAAAGCAATTTGAAGAAGACTCAAAGAAAAGGGCCAGCCACACTCGGAAGAAGCCGGGCGGCAGCAAGAGCTTGTGGGTGAGGGCATGGAGTGGTGTGTGTGGCTGGCTGGCTGGGGGAAGGGACCTCGGCGGGTGGATCTCGGAGGGGATGAAGCAGAGGGGGCGGCTGGCTCTGGGCACAGGACGCTGTAAAGTTGTTGAGGAGGGAGGGGGGATCGGCGAGGAGGGCAGCCCCCTCCTGGCCAACGGTTGGGCAGGGAAGGATCTAACCAACCTCACTCAGGGCCCCGGCCAACCACACACATACAGCAAGCCGATCGACAGCCAGCAGCAGCAGCCATGGTGAGTTCTTTTCTTCTTTTGGCGGGCCGATCGATTTCTGGGGACGGGCATGGACAGTGGTTACAGTAACCTTACGTGACCATGATTCTGAAGTAAGATACATCAACAGCAAGGTGTGTAAGGATTTGGGGTATTAACGCTTAAAATCAATACCTATGAACATATTGGGACAATACACACCTTTTCATCGATGGATAAACCACTGACCGTAAGGATTTATAGAAGTAACGCTTAAAATTGATACCTATTAACATATTTGTACCATGCCCACCTTTTCACTACGGTAATTAGCAAGAAGTGAACAAGTAGGACCAAAAACGCATAATAGTGTACCCAATGCCAGGTCAAGCATGTAGATTTCTGACCCGGACAGGAAACGTCGAGACCTTCATTACCGATACCTCACCATGATTCTGAGATATCATGATCGTAGTGCAACTTTTGGAATCACAAAAATAGCGTCGAGAATCGATACAGATAGTAATGAGGTGATACAACTGTCAAAGAGAACCTAGCCCAACCAAAAATTCTTAAACTCCTTCAACGCATCGTTTAGGCCGAGAAGAAAGCTAAGAAGAAGTCCTCGAAGAAGGCGAGGTCCGGATCCCAGGGAGCCACCTTCGACCAGAAGACCATCCAGGAGTTCAAGGAGGCCTTCGGTATTATGGACCAGAACAAGGACGGCATCATCGACAAGGTAAGCGGGGTTTAAAGGGATGGTCACAGCTAGTTTTTCACCTATAATCATCTTCCTCATCATCTTCCAAATCACCCACCAAAAACCGATTTCTAGAACGACCTGAAGGACCTGTATGCCTCGCTCGGCCAGGTCGCTCCCGACAGCCAGCTTGACGCCATGCTCAAAGAGGTCAGTCATATAACGTGTAGAACAGCCTTAATGTACTATATTTTATCTTCAATGTATACCCGACATACCCATTTTTCTAGGCTTCCGGACCCCTGAACTTCACCACCTTCTTGACGCTGTTCGGCGAGCGCCTCACCGGCACTGACCCTGAGGCCACCATCATCGGAGCCTTCCAGGTAGCAGCTTTAAAAGATTTTGAAGGAATTAGTGACGAAAACTTGTGATTTTAAGATTACGATAAAAACCTCCTTTTGCAGATGTTCGACAAGAAAGACTGTGGCAAGCTGAAGGAGGACGAGCTGCTCAAGATCCTGCAGAACAAGCGAGGCGAGCCCCTTGATGACGATGAGATCCAGGCCATGTACAAGGGAAAGCCCCCAATTGAGAACGGAGAGGTAGGGAGAAGCTACTCAAGATTAAACGTCATCTTCGAGGAGTTCATTTTAGTAGTGTCACTAAATCCAAATTTTTTTTCTTAGCTCGGAGAGCTTTCTAATAACGCCCGTTCAGGTCGACTACAAGGCGTTCGCCCGCCTCATCACCACCGGCGCCGCCGACGAGCTGTCGAAGGCCTGAACGTCGTCGGCGCATCGGCAGCTGCACACCGTCTGGGAGCTGCGCCATGCCCCCAACCACGACGTGCACCGCGTCCGCGTCGCTCCGGAGTGCGCCGATTATGACCTGCCCCCCACTTCATCTGCCCCTCATATTTTCGTTTTCCATGTCCCCGTTCACGCATTAAGGAGGGCCCTCGGGCGGTCGGATCGCGCGTGCTCCAGCCATTCCGCGCCATCCCCCCACCCCCCGTCTCGCATTGAAATGACAAAACTGTACCCTGGCAAGCGTAGGTCATAGCGCAGCTTCACCCTGGGTGATGCAAATTTTTCAGGCTCACTTTTTGACGTTATACTTCGGTTTTTGTAGAGGCGAATTTGGAAGTCAAACTCTAAATTCTTCCTTCACAAAACCCGAAATCCAAAAGCCAAACGAGCCCTCCAGAACTTTGACTTCCACAAAAATTCTCCTCCGACGCGATCCGGCTGCCGAGCGCCCAAAATACGTTTTTCATTCTCTATATCGTGACCCCCGTTTTTAGACCGTCATTAGTCCCGTTCTGTTGCCTTAGAAATTTTGAGGAACCACCGTGGGGCTTCTCATCAAGATGCCCGCAATCCTCGAATTTCTATGACTCCAGAATTGAGTAAAAACATTCTAGAATCAATTGTGTATGTTTTTTGGGCCCCAATGACACCAACCAAGCGGCTTTCAGATGTTTCACGAGGATTTTTTTATGTCTATGTTCTTTTGAATATTTGCTTCGACCAGCTGGCTGCCCTAAGTCTTGTACGCGCCTTTGCGCCCCGCCTATCTCTCGCTCTCTCTCACCATACGTGGTCGTAACCGTGCTATTCGCCCCCTTCTCGAAGGCAGACCCCCCACCTTTTTTCTGGGTTGGTCGAACGCGAATAAACTAAGAGTACAGGAGAAGGAGTTGCAAGGCAGGAAGAGCACATAAAGACTAGGCATATAAAGCTGCTTAAGGCGAAAGGAATAGAAAATTGTTAACCGCAGAATAGTTTTTGCGTTAAATGGTGTTCCGGAACGCGTACATCGTCCATTCTAGCGTTCAATTCTAGGCATAATCCAAAGATATAGCGTCCGTACGTAACCCGAACGTACCGTCAAGCGCCCTGTCCACGAAACTGCTTTATAAATCGAGTGGGGGGAAAGCATCGTTAAGCTCGAAATATGCGGCTCAACAGTTCCATAGACCAGGAAAATTTTTGGTTTGCCATGTTTGGCAATTTGCGGGTATCACAAAGATTTGGTGCATTTTGCGGGTCCTACGTCGTTTGAAGCGCAGAGATGGAAGCTAAAATACCGAGACATACTTGACGTTCCTAAATACGTAAATTGAGCCGGCGCTGTTTCTCACATACCGCAGCTCAGATAGTTTTTCTATCTGGAGCTTCGAAACTGATATAAATTCGCCGACATGGCCACTTTTGCAGCTTTGTATTTCCGGAAAACAAGTAACCCGAAGCTGTCTAAGCCTAAGCCTAAGCCTGAGCTGCATGAGTCTACTGAGCAAGCCTAAGCCCAAGCCTAATAAAACTATACCGATAAAAATTGATGTTTTTCCGCTTTGATAGCGAAGAGAAAATTATGGCCTGAAAGCCGTTCGGGTTAGGAACGGTTACAAAGCTATATGAAATATAATAAATGGATGAGACAATGCTGTTCCTATTCTAGCTTTGGTTGTAACTTTGCAGCGTCGACCTTGGTGCACGTTGACCTCGTGGAGTTCTAAATCCGTAATCACGCAAACATGATCCCCCGTTCCCGCCTCGTCAGTTCCTCCTTCACCTCCCCGGGCATGAGCTTTTCCACCTCAGCTCCCCCTCCTCAACTTTTTTCCAGCACTCTCTCCTCTCCCCAGGCCCGGGCGTGAGCGCGCAGTTTGTGTAAAATGGCCGGGCCCGGGCCCAGGAAATATGCAGGGATTTCCGGAGGGGCCCAGGCACACACGAATCCCGCACAGATCAGTCGGATCCTGGGGACAAGAAAAAGAGGGTCCCTGTGCCGAAGTGAGAGCTGGAGAAAAAGCGACGGAGGGGCCCTCCTGTATTTACAAAGAACTGAGGGGCGGATATGCTGAGAGGGGGAGGCTCTCGAAGCGCTTTGGCACCCAGAAGACCCCGTTTTTTCGGGTAGGGATAGATTCTGACTGTCAGAATCTCCGAGGAATCATCGATCCATGGGGGAGTCTTGCACACCAAAACCTCCAGATTTGCCAGGTCTCTGCCGAGATTCTTAGCGCCTCCAAGACCCACCTTATCTCTAAAAACTCAGGATACAGTCTTTAGGGCCCGTATCCCAAACTGTTCCTATCTCTCCGCCTCTCCAGGATATCCCCAATCTCTCACCTGCTCCCGCTAGACCGTGCGTAGGAGAGGCGAGAGAGCGGGGAGAGAAATGAGAGAGCGAGAGAAAATGAGACTAAATGGCCCTATCCACCTGTGGGCCCTCTCAGCCATCCAGATGCCTTCTTGCGCATTCTGAGCCTGCGACGGGTGGACGGCCACACAACTACTCGCTTGGGAGTTTGTTCCCGTTTTAGTTTCTTTGGTTTTATCGTTTAACTGGCAGAGGGTTTTTACTTTGCGCTGCACTAATGAAACGTTAGAAGCGCAAATCTGACTCGGCCGGACCTGATTTTCGACACTGACTATGAAACTAAAGAAATTAGCTTTTGAAGCGATGAATACCTAAAAAGCAGGAATTTAAGCTTTCTCTAGCCTTAAAAATCACTCATCTGCATTCTTTGGGCGCTTGCCGCTTGCGCTATCGGTCCATTTTTTCTGGCTAAACTGCAAAATTTTTTGTATTATTTGGGTAAGGAAGGGCTGTTCCTGGGACAGGTTGAGTGACGAAGTCAAACCAAAGGTTCCAGCTCGGTTTTTGTGGTTCTGCTGCTTTTCTCTCTCTCTCTCTCTATCTCTCTCTCTCTCTCTCTCTCTCGCTCTCTCTCTGGCTCTTCTCTCTTCTCTTCTCTCTTACTCTCTCTCGCTTTCTCCCACTTTCTCTCTCTCTCTCTTTACTTATCCCCCTGCAATTCCTCCTCTCAAGTTCTCCTATCCACCCGATTGACATAAGCTTTTAGGCTAAGCTTTTCGGTGTCTCTCCCTAACACCTGCGGTATCTCCATTATCTTCAACTTGTCGTCGCCTACCTCTACCTCCTTCTCCACCTTCACCTCCACCTCCTCCCTCTCCCTCCCCAACATTGTTTTGCCGTACAACGCCTCAAGCTCTGCCTTCGGGGGTATCCCTCGACATTCAGCCGAGAACAGCTGTCTCCAATTGTCCGTGGCTATGGGGAGGAGGGCTGTGATCTCTTGCTCCGTTGTGTGGCCCTCCATCTCACCCGGCTGTCGATGTAACCCCCTTTCTCGGTGAGGCTCAAGGGGGAATGCGAAGAAGTAAAAAGTTGGCTGAGGGATCGGAGAGGTAGAGCAGTGGGAATGCACTTTTAGTGGAAAAAAGAGGGGATTTAGGGACTAGAGTGTATTATGGTATAGTTTGGAGACCGAGGGAAAACGATAGAATGATGATAGCAGGTAATTGTGGAAGAACAGCTTGAAGGTTAGAACGACAAGAAGTGTAAGCCTTTGCCTAAGCCTAAGCCTAAGCCTAAGCCTAAGCCTTAATCTAAGCTAAGAATCACCATATTTTTATCCTTCATGCTCTCTTTATTGCGGAAAAAACCTATTGTGAATGACTATCCTCCCATCTTCCAGGTAATTGTTCCTTCGGCGACCCGTAAGTGAGCAACCATGTCGAAGGCCGTGAAGAAGAAGTCGACAAAGACCAAGTCGAAGTCGCAGTCGTCCGTGCAGCAAACCTTCGACCAGAAGACCATCCAGGAGTTCAAGGAGTCGTTCGCCATCATGGACGGCAACAAGGACGGCGTCATTGACCGAGTAGGCCAAGAAGCCGCATAATTTACCCAGATTTTCAGAACGATCTCTCCGATCTCTATGCCTGCCTGGGCCAGATTCAGCCCGTTGAGAAGATTGACAACATGCTCAAGGAGGTCAGTAGAATTAAGAGTCTGCAATCTAAAGTTGACTTTAGGCCGCTGGACCCCTGAACTTCACCACCTTCTTGTCGATGTTCGGCGAGAAGATGCACGGCAGTGACACCTTCTCCGCACTCGTCGACGCCTTCAAGATGTTCGACAAGACCGGGACCGGAAAGATGAAGTGGGTAGAGACGGAAACCTGATATTTCCGGATGAAAAATCGAATAGTACGGAGTGCACTAAATACGTGTCGTTTTCAGGGAGCAAGACTTGATGGGCCTGCTGATGAACAAGCGCGGCAACCCGTTGAGCGACGACGAGTACCAAGCCATGCTCAAGGGCAAGCCACCAATTGATAAGGGAGAGGTGGGGTAGAAAAATAGAAAAATTTAGGGCCTGGCCTTAAAGATAAACTTAATGTCGGAATCGCTAATTTTTAATGAATTTAGGCTGCACATCAAATTGATAGTCCAACGATTTTTAACTAGAGTTTCTGATAGGAGATTAAAAAAGATATGATAATACTATCCCTCTAAAAATTTAAATTTTGATTTGAAACAAATTAACTCGGGTATATATAGACGGCGCACCAATGTTATCCAGATTTTTTTCGGATAAAAATGGATAGTTTCTTTTAATGAAATCGATTTCGAAGTAGCCAAGAATCGACTTGTTACTATTCGTTTAAAGAGTTTACAGTCGTTTCTGTACAGCAACCGTACGTTCATTTTATTAATTCTTTACTATTTATTTCCCTACTTTAATGTAATTTATTTCACGAATTTGATTGGATACAAAAATCCCCGCCTTTGTTTAGCTCAACAACAAATTTCTTTCCAGGTTGACTACGTCGCCTTCGCCAAGATGCTCACCTCGGGAGGAGAAGAGGCCTAAACACTCTCAGAGAACAACAACGACCCTCAAACTTTGGCAAAAAATCACTTACCCCCGTCACAAAAACTCAAACAGCTCACTTCGTCGCGCAGTGTTGTGCCCCCCAACAGCCCTTCAGTCACTTATCATTGAGTAAATTTTTGTGAAAATGCCTGATTACCTACGTCTATAAGCTACACATTGGCACACAATTTATTATGCATAGAAAATGCGCTAGAGTTTTTGCATATCACATCAGAGGGTAAACACACAATCTAGTTTTAAGTTTTGAATGATATGGAGAGCGTTTTGTGTGGAATTCGTAGCTGTGGGAAGTAAGTTTGGACTCGTAAAGGACAGGGATTGGTGCGGAATTTTGGGAAAATTATTATGGCAGCAAGGAAATGCCGGGATTTTTTGCCCCGAAAGGGACCTGCAAGCCAAAACTTACGATAGAAGCTACAGTAAGGTACGGTCAACCGGAAATAGGTAAGGTAAGCAATACTGTAGGTACAGACAATTAGGATATTTCTTGTAGTAAAAGTGTATGATAATCTTCTATTGGTTTGGTAGAGCGGAAGAGCGAGCGAGAGAAAGAGAGAGAGAGAGAGAGAGAGAGAGAGAGAGAGAAAGAGAGAGAGAGTGGGAGCGAGACGACGAGGACAACGACTTAAGCTGCTTTTCGAAGCCTAAGAAAGCTCCGAAGCAAACGGTAGATGATCCGAAGCCCAGGGTTCGAGCTCTCCAGAAGCCCATCGAACGTACATAAACCCTCCAAACGCGTAGATTACGGTAGTCAGGTAAAAGATGACGTTCCATTGAGCAACAGTCTGAAAATAGGAACGATACGAACTAAAATAGAATTTCCATAAATGGCAACGTCAATCGGCAACGTAAAACTCACATAATCCACAACGACAATCCCGACGATGAGAGGCCCAAGCATTCCGGGAAGCGTGGCGATGGTGTTGGAGAGTGCCATGAGGTGTCCAGCGTACTGTGGAGCGAGGTCGAGGTGGTTGACGGAAAATGAGGCCCAGGTAAGGCCTCCGAGGCCCATGGAGATGGTGATCCAGGCGACGAGCCAGGTTGGAGAACGCGTGAGAGAGGCGGCGAGGAGGGTCAGGGCTTGGCCGAAGAAGCCTGAAAAGTGCAGCGTGAAATGAGGTATCTTCAGTTTAGGAATTACTGTATATCGGGTTGAGGCATTAATGACAGAGCCTCTAACGTAAACAGGTTCAAGTACCAGCCTCCCAAAAAATTCGAGTCGATACGATGGATTTAAGATGCGTTTTAAGAAGGGCTTTAAGATACCTATTATAACCTACCAACTACGCAGAAGAACTTCCGCACCCGCACCGTCGTCATCCCTCGCTCCTTTCGCAGATGATCCGAGAATTGACCGGCCCAGATCAGCACCAACCCCATCGCGAGGTACGGCAGCCCGGCAACAAAACCAGCCTAACTACTTGATATTTTTATGCATTTTCATCCAACCTTCTCCAATTGATAATTAGCCAGATCACCGAGAATCCTTGGAAGGTTCGTCAGCATCGTGTAGAAGCCCCAATTCTGGCAAAAGTGCGCGATGACGGTCGCCCAAACTGGCTTGCTTGCCAGGATCATGCGCCAGGGGACGATCTATAAAATGGAAATTCAAGTAAAAGTGCTCGTCAAGTTTTTGCCGCTGTCACTGTTACTTTATGAAACTTAAGCTACTTACGTAGGTATTTGTATTGATGGCGTCTCTCTGGAGTAGTGTCAACTCATCGGTAGAGATCTTGAGATCCTGGGAGGGTGTATCCGCCACTTCTTTCCACCACACGTAGCACCAAGCGAGACCCGCCAACCCTAAGATGTCGTTCATTCCACAGAGAGAAGAGAACAGAGAGAGAGAGAGAGAGAGAGAGAGAGAGAGAGAGTGAGTGATAGAGAGCGAGATCTGGAAACGCGTCCGCAACTTACCAAAAAAATAAAAAATCATCGGCCATCCAAAGTGCTGCCCAAGGGAAGCGGAAATTGGCATCGCAGCCACGGTACCGAAATAGGAACCCGAGAAGGCAAATGTGGCCAATTTTGTTTTTTCGAGGAGCGGGGCCCAGTTGGACCAGACGACATGCATCGCTGGGTAGGTGACGCCCTGAAAATAAAAAATTTTTATGCAAATCACGATTAAAGGGCTAGTTCAACTTTTAGAGCTTGGGCTGGTACCTTGGGAAACTATGGACGTAGGCACAGTGCGTCCGAACAGTCCCCCATTACGACAGCTATTAGAGATCGGGGAAATGAGAGAGGCGCAGACACAAAAACGCAGAGAGGGTTCGACTCCTGGCCGCGGAAATTCTTTTGTTTTATTGGCTGAACTAGCCCTTTAAGTTTGAAGTTTCAATCCTTTCCGAAGCTCGTGCTATTTGTTTTCGCTGTAAACTTTTCATAGGACGTCAAAAGACACAGATTTTTCAAGGGGCGACCGACTTCCAGAAGTCCTTCCATGAATCGAGCGAAAATCAGCATCGAATAGCCCATTTTTGCAAGTGGTGGCGTTAGGAGGGTGAAAACGGCGGTACCTAATGTCATTAAAAGTTTTGTATTTCGATTTTCAAGAACTACCAGCCACTCCAGCGACGTACACCATCTTGCCGCCGTACCGGTGGGCCAAGAAGCCGCCCGGAATTTGAGTCAAGATGTAGCCGTAGAAGAAGGAGCTCAGGATAGCACCCTGCACGAACGGGGTCCAATTCTCGAACTCGCCGGGGAGCTGAAAGATGTTTTTTTCTACTTTGAATCGACGACATAAATTTTTCTTTTTAAGCTTTTTAAGGTATAGAGCTCTTTTAACCCTACATGCACTGTCGTTCCATTGATACTCTGGTCAATTCCAGACGTCATCTCCACGATGGCAACGGAGAGGTTGGCCCGCATCGCGTAGATGTTCGCGAAGCCGAAGAACGCCAGCAGGGCCACCATGTAACGCCGCTCGAAGCGCCATCCTTTTTCTATAAAGTTAGATTATTCGTTGTTCTAGGTTTGGCATAATTCTGAACTCTATTTTTAGCGATTCAAGAACATTTTTTTCCCCTAGAAATTAGTTTAATTCAAATTTATGCACAAGTTATGAAAGATTAACGGCATTCTTCATTTCCAATTTAGCGAGCAAAAAAATATATCCAATTTTCTCATCTTGACTTTTGCATAATTTTATGGTCAGTCTTTGAGGTATACCTTCGAAATTACGTTATGAAATTACCTGGCAACTCAGAAATAACCTCATCCTGATCCAATGGAACCCGTTTGTACATGCATGCAAAGGATTAGGGCTTGTTTTTCTTGACCTTTGAGGTGGACAGCTAGATTGGCGCTACAGACTACAGCAATGTGTCAAAAAGGCGGATCAGAGATCTGATCGTGCACATGGTTGAAGCTTTGCGTTAATAGCACAAGTTTCGTGGAAAAAAAAAATTAATTTTTGTAGATTTTCTTATAAGCCTTAGATACACCACTACCTTCCTCCGCCGAGTCGGCGGCCCCGTACGACGACGAACGAGGGATTTGAGCCATTTCCGGCCCTGATTTTTCGCTTCAAACTCCAAGGAGTCGGTTGCCCAAGTCCCTAAATGATTTAAGTGATAGCGTAGCTTGTTTTGGACGAGAATGTATAGAAAAATTGACAAAAAATTTAAAATTTCTTAGCTGGTATGCTCAAACTCCTGCGAATTTCGGATTTTACAGCCTCGTGAATGTTTTAGAAGGAAATAAAAGTGTGATCTTCGTTTTCATGCAAATACATTTCGCCATAGATGTATTTTTTTGGAAATGCATAAGTTCAAAATCGGCTTATTTCGGAGCAAAAACAACGAGTTAGTCAAACTCGAGAAGCCTAAACATCTAAATAAATCAAAACTGCAGCGACGCAAAAGAAGTTATCGAAAGAGAAGCCGAAAGTGTAAGTGTAGTGGGTAAGTGTCCAAAGTGACGCGACAACTTTTAGCGAGCCGCAAGATCCGCTCGCACACACGAAATGACGTCTGAATTCAAAAGGTCTCGGCCCAGCCGGAAGGACGGAGAGCTTCAGGAGGGCGCCCTGGAGGTCCTCTGGATAAATAAGTGGAAATTCGGGGAGGGTAGGCGAGAGAAACGAGAGAATCGAGAGAAACAGAGATATAAGGCAACGAGGGCCCGCCGGGGGCCCCCTCCTCCAAAAAGCCCACCCAGGAATGGCCCTATTTGTGGGGGGCAACCGATCGATGGCCAAAGGGGACGAACACTGGACTCGTTTTATAATTAGATTCTGAAAAAAATCAACAACTCGGGATGTGAATGAAGAAGAGTTTTCATGTTGAGGTACGGACGATAAAAAAGGCGTGAAAAAATCGGACAATTTTAAAACTCGAAAAACCGTTTTCAAGCTGTTGATTATATAAAATAGTTAATAGTGAATGCTCAAAATAAAAGTGCTCGGCGAATTTCATCTCTGTAAATGCCTGACTCCTTGAGTATCTTGCTCTCTCCCTCTCGGTCTCTTGCTCTCTATCGCTCTCTCTCTCCTCTTCTCTCTCTCGCTCTCGCTCTCCCCCACATAGCAAACGTTTCTCTCATATTTGAGACCAGTGGGTGTTAAAGTGTTAGCCAAAAAAATCCTAGCTTGGCGTGAGTTTTTAAAAGAAAAGCAGATCAGGCGCACAAAATATTCCTATGCAAAAATTGCAGTCAACGGAAACGGGTTGCATCTCGGAAAACCCGTCGGATGACTGGCGGCTAGCTGGCAAAATAATTGACCGCATGAATTCAGAGGAGCCGTCCCGAGCTAGCCGATGATGTCTCGTTTTTCCGCCCCTTCCCGTTGATTAGCTGACCCGTCGAGCAGCCATTTGCACACGGACGGGCCTACAAATTAGCGTTGGTGCCATGTTTCGGGAAAACGGGGCCATTGATCTTGATCTTCTGACCTTCGTTCTGTACATAAAGCTGAAGTACCTTCAGAACATGTCCAGGGCCGCGCGAACGCAGCCCCTCACGCAAAAATTTAGCTGTAGGCGAACCCCAACTCGGAGCTGCCTTACAGGTCAGCCCGGCCGAAAAGTGCAATGGCCAAGCCTCGCCGTAGGGGTCCCGTCTTGATGATCACGGGAACCCCCCAGCCAGGTAAGTTTATGAAGGGATCGGGGAGGGAAGGTAACCAAACGGAGTGGGCCGGGTGGGGGGCGAGTGGGGGCACAGAATCGAACGCATCACCTACATCGCCTGTACTTGTGGTCGACAGATGTTAGATTTTCTGTTGCCGGACATTCTGATGGTATATTTTTTTATGCAAGAAACACTAAAGTGGATTTTTTGTTACGGTTGACTCATCAGATTGCGGTTCCGTTTTATCGGCACAGAGCAATTCGCATGCAAATTATGCAAATTGAGGCAGATGGTGGTTTTTGACGTATCCTCAATGGCTCAAAATGAGCCAGTTGGCTTAGCAATAGTTGAATTTTCGTGCTTCAAAATTGCTACTTAGTTTCTTATCGCAGACCCTACCATTAATGAGTACACAGGCACTTTTTGGCTGATTCTTATCTGGGATCGATAGAACATCTGCTGACCATGCCCGGGGAAAAAAATTGGATTCTACTCAGAATTTGAGGTTATAACGATTTATTTTCATCGTTGTTTCTTTTTTTTGTTTGCTTATGTTTCTGAATTCCGTTGTGGCATCTATACCCATAGGGCTCCGCAGCACTCCCCTAACGAACGCATGTCCGTTGTGCCCCCTCTACGATTGCTTATCGCCTTTGGATTGGTTGCGACGCAAGCCTTGAGTTCAAATTCGCTGTTTTCGAAACAATGGGGGAATTGGTACCTCTTCCTCTTTTATATGAATTACCCCACTTCCCGGTGCATGCTACTTACCTTCTAACAGATAAGGTCGGCAAATTTTTCAAGAAAAACTTTATTTTAAAAGCGAAATTAGCTTAACTGGGATCACGAGATCTCAAAGCTACAGACATTTACTTTATGTGTTCTTCAAACTTTTGTAAATCGTGGCCAAAAAATACTAAAAATATGGATTTTTTTTTTGAGCGGTTTCTCGCATTCTCATGTCGAAAATAAAGAGCGGTATTTTTTCTCACTCAGATTTTAGAATGGCCAGCCATGTCCTGCTAGGCCCTGCACAGCCAGCCCCGCAGCCAGTCTTACAACCACCCCAACTGCCGCAACAACAACCACAACAACAACAGCAGCAAGCAGTCCGGGCTCAACCCCAGCCCGGCCTAGCCCCAGAACTTCCATTGGACAGGAAGGCCCATCATTCAGTAGTCAATGACAGTAGGTCAAAACGTGCAAACTAGGAAATTTTCTTTCCAGCAATCTTCTTCCTGCGACGAATCCGGCAGATTGTGAACAAAATGGACGAGCTCGTCGCCTCGTCAGTCAACGAACTCCCCGAACCCGAAGAGCTCCAGGAGGCCGGGAGGCTTGTCGAGTGTTTTGACTGCATAGAGCAACTATCGAAGAAGCTCGGCAAGTCGGTGCCCATGTTTGATGGGCTTGAGAACTTTAAGAGTGTCTATCAGGTGAGAACGGTTGTGAAATGTTTGGAGTTAGCATTTTAGGAAGAGCAATATGAACTCTCGGCGATTGAGACGATTGATAGTGCGATCGACGCGGGGAATTGGCACGAGTCGAATTATGTAAGTTTGTTTGGTTAGTGTGCCGCTGGCCCCCTCCCAACCTTTGTAGCTTAACCCCCTGTTGGTCTACAGGTGTATTAAGTATACCAAAATGTTCGCCTTGCTAGTATTTTGGTATGATATTTTGGTATGCTTTACTACACGGTATCAATACGGCGAGCGGAGATACGGTCGTTGGGGTCGGCGGGGGGTTGACTGCACTTCAGCCGCTTTTTGTTAAGGTTGATTTTATTTGAGAAAATGTAACTTTCGAGAAAAGACTTTCAATAGTAGAATGGCGATAAAATGAGCCCGGCTTTTCAGCAAACCTACTCATACGCCGAAAGATTCCTCCAGCACTGCCCATACACCAGGCGAGCGACCTCCCTGATTCCGAAAAACATCCCCTACTCAAACTGGCATCCGCATAACCCGCACCGGATGTTCGAGCAGTCGTTTGCTAGGGTAAGCATTTTTAATATGAGTGGTGCTTTCGCATTATCGGGGGGAGGGCAGTTGCTCTTGATTGTTCCGACTAAAAGAGTATAAAAGACTAGTTAAAGGACTAGCGCTTTTTTATGGCGCTTCCTCCAGAAGTGTAGTTTAAATCTACTAAAAAACGTTATTAAAATGCGAAAAGATGCTACCAGGGTATCTGAGCCTCAAGAAACACAGTTCGCCTCCCCGGATAATGCGAAAGCTCCACAAGGAAGAAAATTCCAAATATTACTTTTTCTCAGTTTCCTCAAAATTCTAGGTGCAAGCCGAGCTTAAGAAAAAGAAGTGCGGCATCCTGGGCATGTATCTAGAGCAGGGTACGATGCAGGCGTTAATTGAGGTTGGTTGGGCATTTGAAGCTGGTTCTCTATTAGTGATACTTATTTATAAGTATTTCGAATCTAAAATAAATTATTGCGCCTTTAAAGTGTGCTCTGATACCTTAAATCACTGATTATAAGGAGGTATGAAATTACCTATGGGTGAAAAAACCCAAATAATGTTTTTAGCTGCGATTCGGCTTCGTCTTGGACGGCCGCCAATTCGTGTGCAACCAGAAGATGTTGCTAATCGTCCAGTACGGGATTCTGGAGGGCGTGATCATGATCGCCCCGCACGAAGACTGGTTCTACACCGATGCTGCCGGCGACAAAAAGGTGCGTTTTAACACTGGGGGCATTACCTCGTATTTCCAGGTGGACACGACGAAGGAGAGCGAGTACCTCGTCTACCGCAAGCTCACTACCCAGACGAACATCTACCTCGTCCAGATGAGCTCGCAGGTTAACTACCAGAACCCGGAGTACCTCTGCAAGCTGTTCATTCGTTTCCAGCGGATTCAGCACATTTTTGAGACGCCGTGCCAGTCGTGCTCGTGAGTCTTCGGCTCGATCTTTTCTGAAATTGGTGAAATTTTTCGTAATAAGGACGTGTTAAATCACGTTTTTAAATTATATAATTCCACTAATCTTTGAAGACGCGTTTTTTTTGGCTGGATGGACATACCGTAATCGCTAAAAAAAGCAAAAAAGCACGTTTGCAGAAAAGTAATGAAAAACTTCCTGCCGCCGACCATCTACGACTTGTCAGGCTACACAGCCTACCATGAGGGCTGTAAATAAAGGAAAACAATTTAATTACGCTGTGATGTTATTACATTTATTGCTATGCTTTTTGTACCTCTGAAAACGTGTGATTTCAATGCAATACCGGTGTTTATGAGATCTCAAAAGATAAATTATGGAGATTGAAGTAAAATCATGCAGCAAAATGTTTTAATTTTTGGCGCCCTCTCGAGAGAGCGGGGCAAAAATCGTAACGGAATCTTAAATACATCGTGTAACTCTTACAGCTTGATCTGGTTTAGAATTTCAGCGGTAACTCAATAGGGTATGAATTTCTCTGTGCTACCAGATCACAAGTTGCGCATGGTAGTTTCCATTCTGTGCTTCTACCTAACAAAAAAATAATGATTTGTTGTCGAGTCAAGAAACTGCCATTCCATAAAAAGACTATTGTGCGGCGGAGCAAAAAAAATGTGGCCCGGCCCGCCCCGTTAATGGACGCTCCTACCTAGGAATAACCAAGAGTTATTCGCAGTCTACATCTTCGATTTTACCCTTAGCTTTGGCTTAAGTTCCTTTTCTTTTTAATCCGGAAGCGAGGCTGTTGAATTTTGCTCATCAAACTTTGCTCGCCGGCCCACGCACATTGAAATACGGGACATTTTTCTGCAAACACCTTCCAGTTTCAAGTCCCGGATACTATTACAGCCTTAGCACCCCGGGACTCCGGTTTCAAATCTGAGAGTTTATCCGGCTGGCGGGAAGGGCCGTTCTTGCCGCAGTTGCAACCATTTCCCGCTTGCTCCAGGTTTTGGAGACTCCGTTTTTTACGTCATCGGAGTTGATTTTTGGGTGCATTTTTCTAGCTTTTGAAATTCTTCTGATGCTACTTTATACAGGCTTCTTATTTAATGGCCAAAATGACCTGAATGGAAAAAGTTCTCTCGATTTCTCTATGGCCCACTGTCACTCTCGATTTCTCCCTCTTTCTACTCTCCCTCTGTCTCACTCCTTTTCCCGCTCTTTATTGCATTGGTTGACCTTACGGTGGGACTTGCATAAGAAGTTCGCACCGATATCCCCACTCGCCCCCCACCTGGCCCACTCTTTGTGGATACCTTCCCTCCCCAATCCCTTCATAAACTTACCTGGCTGGGGGGTTCCCGTGCTCATCAAGACGGGACCCCTATGGCGAGGCTTGGCCATTGCACTTCTCGGCCGGGCTGACCTGTAAGGCAGCTCCGAGTTGGGGTTCGCCTACAGCTAAATTTTTGCGTGAGGGGCTGCGTTCGCGCGGCCCTGAAAATATTTTGGATCATAATCCATAGTTATTCAGGATTGTGCTCTGAAGCCTTATTCAAGGATCAATGGCTAGAAATTGGGCCACGGTTTTCTAGAGAATATCGTTCTCAGATTTCACTTTGGAATTCATTCCCAAGGCTTCCCCAGAGCCTTTTTTCGACTACCCAATTTTCGCTGGTCAATCTGGGTTGAGCAAGTATGTGGACGAGTTTAGCAACCACTAAATTTAGCCCACCCATGAGATATTTTGCAGTAAGGTAGCAATCGAAGACGAGCTGTCCAGGAGGTGCCCTCGTTCCGTGTCAATTTTTGATGGGGCGCCGGGAATCAAAGGCAATTCCCATGGTTTCATTGTTGCCAGTGGGGATGAGGTGTGCTATTGGTCTTTTGAGGGAACCTTGTGGGTAGTATATAAAACCTATGCTAAAGGGTCTTACAGTCGTACCAAAAACGTTTCCGTTAAAGAGGTTTTCAAAGCCGAGCAAACGAGAGCACCCAAACCTAAACCTAACTAAGCCTAAGCGTAAGCCTCAGCCTTACGCATTTGTCTCAGCTTAAAGGGCTGCAGAAAGATCGCATGGGTGAAAAAGCAAAGAAGGCTGCACCGGACGGGGGTCGAACCTGGGTTGCCCGCCCCGCAGTCTGATGCGCTAGCCACTATACCAAAGAGTCGAGTGGGGAGGGGCGGTGGAGGGCCCCCAAATGCCTTGCGGGCGAACCTGGCCCGTTTTGGAACTGCCATTAGAAATAAAGCAATTTCGAATAGATAAGAGCCAAAAATGTTGTAGAAAATCTAGCTAAAGGATAGCAACGTACTTTCCACCTTTCCAGGGGTGTTTTGCTGTCGATGCGACTCTTTTTCAGCCGAAACAGCGTCCCCAAACCCCTTATAGCCCTGGACTTGGCCGCCTTCTATCCAATCCGGCCCAAATTTTTACCATCGACGGGTATCACTCAGTCCTTCGTCTATGGAAATTTTTAGTCAAAAACATTGCTAAATGAAAAACTTATAGCCAATAAACTGGTTTCTTCAAACGCGAGAGGGGGTTTTGGGGGCGCTTACGCGAGGGAAAGCGTCGATGGTAGCGCCGCGGCGGTCCGTCACCCCGACGGACGCCGGCCCATCTTCCTGCAGCCCTTTAAGTCTCAAACCTTGTCCTATCCCCGTTCCTTTCCTCACAGTTTTAAACACCTCTCCGGTGTTGTCAAAAACCAGCGATGCTTGGCCCCCGACAAAGACAATCCGAAAATAAACTCATCGTCATATGGGAAACGTAGAGGGGGAGGGCCCCCCTTGGTGGAACCATTGTCTTTTCATCCTACTCCTGCGACGAGCCGAAGGAGGGCTGTAAACAATGGCTGAGAGGGCCCATATAAAATGCCGCCAAACAAATGAATTTCGGGTTTTCAGTGAAATTGATTAGATGAAATTTGGAGGACTGCAAAATTGATTGGAAGCACGTCATATTGTATTGCTCCGGAAAGACTGTTAGAAGAAATTCTTCCGTTAACAGGTTTTTGTGGCATTTTAGGTTTGATGGGGCACTATTGAAAGCATGGAAACTGAATTAAAAAGATTTTTACCGAAAAACGTGAAACATCTGCAGAAAATCTATATTTATGACGGCGGTAAGATCGTTAAGGTTTCTTGCCGCACTAATAGAAATGAAATCCAACTCTCTGTGCTGAAGTCGAAGCCCACTAAGCGTAAACCTAAGCCTAAGCCTAAACGCAAGCATAAGCCTAAGCTCAAAATTCTAGCCAAAACACCTGATTTCCTCCTTCTCATCCCTATCTCCCCAAACTTCCAAAATCCTGGCGCTACCCCAGGAGGCGGGGCTAAAATTGGCCGTGGTCCCACCCCCTAGTGTGTGTCTGTTTGTCCGTTTGTTTCATCCTCCTCGTCCTCCTCCGCGTCGTCGTCTTCAAACGGATCCTCTTGGCCTTCCTGCCTGCCGGCGATGCATCTCTGAATCAGTCAGTATTTACTGCGTCTGCTGCTTCTTCTGAGATTCGAGGCGAGACAGGATCCTCCAGAATCATTTGGGGATTCTCTGGGCACTTAGCCCTTCCTATTCGGATTCTCTTTGGCGACAAGCGCAACGCAACGATTAACGCTTCCGGGCAAAATGCGGGTGTTACAGGTTGGTTTTTAATCGATATTTCTCAACACTTTAAAAAAAAAAACAAAAAAGCTTTGAAATAGGGTTTTATGGCCTGAAGCACTTTTGGCATCAGCAACGAGTAGAGACTAGACTTATGGTTATGCTTAGATTTAAGCTTAGGTTTAGGATTCGGCTTTGGCTTGGGCTTGGGCTTAGACTTAGCTGACGAGGACTGACTTGGTCCCCGCACAATTTTGACCTCGAAAGTTTTTCCGCCACGATCCTTTGCACCCCAGCTGTTTTCATCAGCAACCCTTCGGTTTTCCGGCCCCATCGCCCTCAAAATTCATATGCAAAGCCGCTCAGCAAACAATTTTTGGGGCCGGGCGTCCTCTAGTGAACCAAACTAGTGGTGGGCGGTGGAAACGGCGGCGGAGGGGTCAAAATTAGCCTCCGGCCAGCAGAAGTTGGCCGTCAGAATTTTTGGGGGTGTAGAATTGGGCCCAGAAATACGTGATTCCGAAAAAGCCGGAGTTACGACGCGAAAAATGGAAGTAGAAGTTTCTCAATTCTTCGTCTGGAATTGAGGGTCGCCCGCTGCCTACGCCCAAGCATAAGCCTACTTTCCTGAGCGACTTAAGTGCAAGCCAAGCCCCAAGTGCATATTATTCGATTTACCCCTCCACAACTCCCTGGAGCACCAGGTAGACGTGTTTCAAACATTCATGAGCATCGGGGTGGTCGCCCAAAAAAGTAGGCATACACACACGTTGAAGGCCCACTTTTTTCGCTCGTCAAGCCCACCGAGATTGCCCACCCGCATCTGCTGCCATCGTTTGCCCAGCGTTTTGGGGCCGAAATTAAGCTGTTTGCCAATTTATTGCGAACCGGATTGCAGAGTAGTTGTGTTGTCGAGACATTGCATACACTGCTTCGAGCTAGAAAAATATTTTTGGCAGCATTTGGGGTTATTGAACGTTAAATCCAGATGATTATACCTAAACAGCGGCAAAATCCAGCGAGTTAAAGGTATTGGCAACGCACGTCGGTCATGGATTATTCAAGAATTTTGTCGCGACACGCAATCGATATGCAAAAATCCATAGTCATGCCTTTCCGCTTTCTTGAAACACCGATGTCTTCCAGCTTCCGGTTTTGCCCCGTAAAATTTGACCCCTGGTTGGCAACGAGGAAATGAACCCCGGAGAAGGTCGACTAGTAAACGCTTATTGCTAAAGGGCCGACCCCGAGAGAAGTTTTTGGGCTTTCGGCAACGAGAAGCCCTCCTTTCCTTCCCTTCCGCGTCCAATTAGTGTCTCCCTTATCCACACCCACCACGCCATCCCGTCAGCCTGGGGAAGGGACAGGACGGGATGGCCGCGCGAAGATGGCCATTTGAATTTGGTGTCGACGACACGCTTTAGCGTGTTTTTCGCTTAAATTTGATCCTATTTTAGTAAGAGTTTAAGGTTATTGTACTACTAAAACGCAAAGTTGAGCCGTTGTATGCTGTAAAAGGCTTTAGGCCGATTATTAATACTTGTAGACTTGGTTAGGATCACAAAAGTAAACCAGAAACCCACAGCAGCCTTCAAAATCAGCGTCCATTATCAAAAACACGATAATCCAGGCTCCCACCTTATGCTC